ACTTCCAGACATTCACTCAGGCAATCTGGATAGAAACTGACAACAGGAACGCCATTGACATCGTTTGGCAGCCATATCTTGTAGTGTCTCCAACCAGGCACAGTGAGGATCACGCGGTCCCCATCCTGGAAGGCGAGTAGCACCGGCAGCACCCAAGCATTTCGTGATCTTCATACTCCTCCGCCAAGTCAAGCGTTGGCCACCTCTCTGTTTACGCCACTCCGAATTGGGCATGGAAAACAGTACTCTCTTCGGCAAACGATGGTTTGGCATACGTAACACATGTCCCAACCAACGCAGCTTCTGGTGCTGGTGGTGTTCGACAAAGATGTCCACTTTCTCCGTTTTTGTTGAACTTCATCAATGATGAAATAATGAGGCGAACGCTGGAAGGTCTTCGAACCTGCGGTGTTCAAGCTGTTGCTGGTGAGAGCCTTGTCGATCTGGAATACGCAGACGACATTGCCCTCATCTTCGAAGACCAAAGCGAAGCACAAGCCCTGTTGAATAAACTGACCACCATCATACCATTTTTTGGCATGCGCTTTGCACCTGCAGTTTGTGAATTCATGCTTTATAATGTGCACTCTGCGAGCTTATCCTTTACACTTCAAGGGGAATCACTGGGTATCGTGGAAAATTTTACATACCTCCAATGGAAATGTGTCTGAATAAGTCAGTGCTCGATTCACGTTTGCTAATTTGCATCACTTGTGGCGTCAAAGGGGTATGTGACTCGACCTCAGGGGTCGCGTGTACCATTCTGCAGGAAGGACTGTTGTACGGGTGCGAGACGTGGCCTCTGCGGATAGATGATGTGAGACGTCTTGAGGCTTTTAACCACCGACGCCTCAGAAGACTGGCTGGCTTTGGATGACTTCAGCGTTTTGGTGACGAGGTGATTAGAAAATGGGTATTTGGTTGTGCTGCAGGCACTTCAATGGAGGAAAGCATCCAGCATCACCGACTACGATGACTCGGTCATGTACTGCGCAAACCGAAACACCGTCCACCGAGACGAGTGTTGTTCTCCGCGCCTCCTTCAGAATGGTGCAAACAGCGGGATGGACAACGCATGACATGACAGAAGGGCGTGAAAGAGATCATGAAGATTTTGGGTGCTGTTGGTGTTGTACGCCTTCCAGGATGGGGTCCCCTTGACCCTACCTGTGCTCGGCTGGAGACGAGAAATGGAGGCCATTCGATGGTAGTGGCCATCATGCTATCAGTTTCTTTCCAGATTGTCTGTTTGAGCGATTGGAGGTGTAGACACCCCAGAATGCTTGACATAAGCCAGCACTAAGTCCCCTCCCTCACCCACTCTTTTTCTCTTCTTTTCACTCTTAGGCTTGAAATATAATTAGACGATTCTTATGGTTGTACGGTAGTGATGCATCAGTGTCATCCTTGATGTTGTTGGCTTGCATGGTGATACTGGACGGTTGGGATTTAAAAAAAGGAACCGACGTTAATGCTTCGTGACGGAAATAGTCCCAGTCACGTTATGAAGAAAAGCTTGCCCAAGGGTTGATCGTGCTTGGTGGCTTTCATGGTTGTTTGCTCTCAAAGGCGTTCTTACGAATTTGGTCTCTGATGTCAAGCTGGTAGAGGAACGTTTTCTGGCTGATTTTCTCGACACTTTAAATGGTCGCTAACCAGTGGCAATCAACGCGTCCTCGCTCTATACCCAAATATGACGGTCACATGTGACAATTCTGTGGGTTTGAAATAAATGAAGTCGCACATTTAGTCCCTCTAGTGTGTGTTGAGCTCACCTATCACTTTCCCCCGAATTTTTTGAACTTATTGGACACAGAACTATTCATTTGTACCTCTGTCAATTGTTGATTGGTTGGTTCGATGATCTACAGATACACGGCAGCTCCTATTTCATAGGATCACTTACACCACTTGCTTCCTATGCTACTGTCGGATTAGCGGTCTGATCTTGCTCATCCTATATGTAAATGTAACTTCTCATTAGTTGCGCGGTGAAAATCAGTCCCGACCCGAGCGCCTTGTGATTGGCAAAGAACATATGCAACACTGGAGGAGTCGGTTATTCAGCACTGACACTGACTCGATGAGAAATCGTTTTCTGGGAGGTAAGTTGTAGAAGTAACAATTTGTCCTATGGGACAATTGGGAAGGAATTACTCTGCATGGTTCATCTTGGAAACGGTGAAATGAAAACAACGGGCAGATCTGTTTTCGTACAGTGAAAAGAAGCGATACACTTCAGTGCCTAACACAGTATAATCCAGGCAAACGGATGTACTCCATTACAGTGCGGACGACTGGATCCAATCGTTCTTCCATGTGTGAGGTTCGTAATTTTCATGCAAAATGGAGAGTCTTTGCTGGTGGTATTTGAAGTTCATAGTTGACCTACAACGGCAGAGAAGAGAAATGATGTAACAGAATTTTTATAATATCACGAATAAGTCGAGAAGGGCAATGTGACATTGTTCGATACAGATGTGCATTGCATACTCTCGCTTAACATTTTACTGGATTGATAATGCGGCATTCCATGTATATTGGGTTCGTCTTGCAACGATTTTTAATGATGACCACGCGGCTGTACACGTCGGTTGTATACTGTAAAGCAATTGCTATTCGCAATGCTTGGTTATTTCGAGGTCGAAACAGCTGGGTTACCGGGCCGATTTTACTTTATGCACAGTTGATTCCCCCCACAGGATTATTCTTACCTATGCTGTGTACTCGATTCATTAGTTGGCAAAATCAAATCAATTCAAGTTTTACTTCGAGGTCATTGTATCAGTTGAAAAGCATAATTGATGGTCAGGCATACATGCGTGTCGAGTCATCCAACTTACGGGTGCATTTAGGTATTGCTGCAGCAGATGGCGCAGTTCTCCATTTTGTCGGCGCAGGCCCTCGGATTCGTGAATCAGTTTGGCTCTGTGTTTCAATATTTGTAAGTAGTGTTCCAGTGCTATGTGCAAGTTGTCCCAAACTTTTTCTGTCTCTGCGGTTACCACCGTGGATCTGAAAAAGAACACCGTGCGATTTAGAATTACGCTACCGTATGACAATTAGTTCCAAAACTAGACACTGAAATGATCTGTTGCTCATAAATTATGCACTGAAGCCTACCTAAACTCAGATCATTTGTGAGTAGGAACACAAACGCGGGCTGCCTGTTCACATATATTCCAATGGATATTGAATTATGTACTTTGCCTGATCAATGCGCTGGAGGCTTACTGTGTCTTTGCGATACCGAGCAACCTGTAACAGAAACTCACCAAAACATATACATCGCGAAGTCCTGTATAGGTTTCTTGCTTCTGCTGACGTGTTTTCAATGCACCACTTATTTGTACCTGTCTATTGTTGATTTTTGCCAGCAAACCAACTTGGTTCAAGGTCCGGCAGTGAAGCATCAGTGTTGAACACTGATGTCCTGTTGTCGATGATGCTGCTGCTGCTTCTTTTGAGCCATATATTTGGAGTCTTGTACGCACGAAATATGCCCGGATTACTACAGACCGTGGAGCTACTGAACTGTTTTGATGGGTCCAGACTTTTAACTATATATACGACAAGGGATACTTCGCTTCTAGGGGAAGTAAGAATTCTTCTAGGTCTCGCCTTAAGATTTATGATCACTCTGCCTTAAAGAAAGGGAACATAAATCACGGCCAAATAAGGTCAGAAAACTTCAAATTGAAGGGACGTTGTGTTGTTGGGGGACGTAGTCACACACCTTCAATTCCTATCCGCAAAGCAATCGGTGACTGAAACCCTAATTGGCGTATTGGCGCACTACTGTAGCCTGATGACCGTGTGGAACAAGTCACGTGACACATACTTATCACCTACCGATTCGACACGCATTGTCCCAGCCAGTGTTTTAGGTTGGGTGCACTGCGACTTAGTTATATTGACCGAGTTACAGTATGCGTAAATGCGTGTACCTGTTTATTTAAGGGACGGCTCTACTCTATGGCGTACGTCGGGGAGACACCGCTCGCTTTTCAGACCACTGAGTCTGGAGGGCTTGTTTATCGGGATGATTGCAGGTGTAAAAAACAACGCAAACTCAGTAACCGAGGCAGTTGAAAACCGACAAATCGTCGGTTCTCACAGATTACCCATCGAGTACGCGCACCGGGACCAACTTGTCCGCATGTGACGCTAAATGCGCAGCTGCAAGTTTAGGAAGTGTTAACAGGAGATGCGGTTGAATCTCTGGTTCATAACATTCTCCGGCTAAATATGCTGCACACGTCAAGTCGAATGCTCACTTATCGAATGATGTTGATGAAGCCCCGTATAAAAATGAAACGGATCATGAACTGCTGAGAAGAAAGGCGAGACGGCCTCAACACGAGACGTATGATTTCACTTACAATAAACTCCCACTTGTAATAGACGCTTGCAGAAGGTGGCGGACGTCATATTGGATACATGGATTTCACAGCCGGAATATATCAACTCCTATTCTAAAATTTACAGTCGACTGGTACGCAGGAAAACGAAGGATGTCTCATGATGACGCTCATAAAAGTGGTATTCAGCTCAACCACTCGTCACAATCATTTTGACGTTCGTCATTACGTTCGGGGCAAACTAGCGAGTGACAAATTCGTGCAATTTAAGCTGCACAATGAAGTTCAAAAAGAACGAAAGTGGTTTGGGCTATCGGAAAGTTTTCATCAAATTTATAAGTGATACGTCTAGCATAATGTGTAGTGTAATTGTCTTCAGTCATTTTAGTGGTGCATCGTTCGCAGGAAAGCTCGGTTAGTTCATAGTCTATTTATACACTTATGCAGTTTCCAATATCCGAACACGAGTTGTTAATCAGGAAAATCTTCTTCAAGGCATTCAGGGTGATGGGAATCGGTGTTACATCTTTGGGGATGGTCACGGCAAACATGCTCACTTTTTTGCCTATTCCGTCTAATGGGATCGAATTAGGATGATTATCTGCCTATTAAGATTTTTCTTCAAGTGCAGCAAGATATGAACTTATAATGAGTGCGTGCACTATAGACCCTTCTGCATTGAATAATGTCAAGCGGCATCTAGTCGTGGAAATCCTTGTGTTGGATTGCATCTCCTGCCACTACTTTTTGCGTGGGACAACGTATACATCAAAGCGTTATTGCGAGCAGTTATCTGAGGCTCGCTTCAATGCCAGTCAATATTGAACTATGTGTACTGACAGATATTGCGGTGTCAACATCCAGTCCATCAACTTTCACGGTGTAGTTAGACTGGTAAACAGCTCCGCAGTTTGCTGCAATATCTTGAATAATGTTAAACTATCCGTATCACTGCTCGTGCGTTTTGGACCAACTCGTCCCCACAGTGGACGTTCATATTCAGTCCTTAGAAACTCACGGCAATCTTCTGCAAGAAACCTTAGGGCGAAATTTCCTGCCTTCATAAAATGTCTTCGGAATGATTGTTTCCGCACATTGTTTGGGCAACCCGACGGTGTCGTATTCTCTCATTCAAGACGAATGCCGAGGGGATTTAAATTAATCATATCATAGCGCTCTGTCTGGATACTGGTTATGTTCTCCGATCTGGAACAAGCTTATCCGTTTGGAAACATCCGTACCACTGTCGCAGTTGCCACAACATTCTGGCCTGCTCCGCCACCCTTACGGTCGTCTGTGGTAGAATTATTTGTTCAAACATCCATTCACTCATCGCACTGTGCAAAAGATGGGTTAGGCAGTTACGTGTTTTCAATGTGCCACTGGCTATGTCCTTGAGGTGACAACATCGTGCTTGAGATCGTCCACCAATTAGTAAGACAACTACCGATGCGATCGCATCGGGGTTAGAGGGTGTTGTCACTGCAGCCTTACTGCCCTACACAGACGAAAGCATCATGGTTTGAAATAACAGGCGGTACTAACTGGGGATACATGTGTATAGTATATCACAATACCAAAGACATGGCTGATGTGAACCAAATGCGGTAAGCAAAGAGTGAATAGAACTGGAGAGAAAAAGCCGAACCAATACGACGTCGTTACGTCTGTAGGAGTTATCAACGCCAACCCTCAAGAAACTCATCACATAAATAGCAAGTATACGAACGCAAATGGAAACCTAATGCGACCATAGCACAAATTCGCTCAGCCTATTGCCGTCGGCAAAGCAGAATCCGGTGCTACAATTTCGCATTTTCTTAAAATTGCACTACATCGCCTCGCAGTGTGAACTGGAGGGTTATAGTAATGGTAACGCTTTTGACCGTAGTCACGTGCTGGAGCATCTCCGACAAGCGTGTTATGTGCAGTGAAAGGTGATACACAATTACCCGACCTTATACAACCGTTTTGGAAGAGACATTTTCTGTTTGAATACTTGGGACAGAAATAAAGCAATTCATTATGTTTGCATTTTATTTTTCCAATTCACTTGGGATGATGCGTTACTGTTTATAAAGGCCATGGAACACTCCCCAAATAAAGCCCCTTCCCAAGGGTATTTCTTCCGTATACATTCGTTCAGGAGATCCTCTCGTGCTCATACCCTTTCGGATGTCAAGTAGATGTGTCCATTGGAGTCATTCTGTATTGTTTGCACTCTTTGTGTGTGATACTTGTACTGGGATCTCGCAAGTAATACAATACATTCGGCTGGACATCGTGGCTGCAGTACAACGCAGCCCAGGGGGGATTAATGACATCTTAAATGAAAACGCACTTATGTACCTATGAACCACTTCATATTTTGTTCGTTCGGTTGCGCCTGGTACTCAACAGTGATAAAACACGATTGCGTTGACGTTTCAGGTTTCACAACGTGAGTCTTATTGACGTGATTTCATTTGGCCCTTCGCTTTTTTCTATCCCAGCCAGTTTTCGACAGCTATCGTAGGGGAGACTAAAACACTTAGTTTACACAGGCTTCATTCGATGACGGATATCACTTTGACAGGGATGAGATATATTAGACATTCTAGATGTGCGCTTTTTAGTAGCGTTACTTGGAATCGGTTCTTAGTCTCAAGCGAATAATTTCCTAAGGTCTTTTGGGAGAACCACATCACCATACGGTATGTGTATAGAGACCCCTATAAGTTTCTATATAAAGAAAAAAAAAGACAGCACCATCAAAGACACAAGAACAAATATAAGGCAAACCAAATGCTTACTGTTTAGGGAAATCCGTCCCTATCATGCCATTGTCAACTTCGAGTGAAGAAGCACTGCATTCCTTTCTACGAAGGTGTCTTTATTTGCTAAATAAGGGACTGAATGCGTCATAGTCCCTTGTTTTGCCGAGTCAAGGAACTTGACTAGAAACGCTTGGGTAGAACTGGATTGAACTTTTTTCTGCGGATGGTTGTGAATGTGGAACGGTCTTGTTATGTAGCATTTCTTGCCAGAAATTGTCACACTTTCTGAAAACTTGGAAAACTATTTCGCATTTATCGAGAAATTTCATCCAATTCCTTTGTTGCTGAGCGCGTCTGTACAATTCATGCCACTTTATCTGCAAGAGAGAGTTCCCCCTGCATCTTCATCAAGCAATGTGGAGATTTTATTTACTGATGGGAATTTGCGACTTACGCGTATTTGTTCCAGTATTCAGCATCATACGAGTCATCCCTCTTATCCGTTTCCACTCCAGTGGAGACAACTTTTGACACCAACGTCTCTTTTCCTGAATTTCCTTCATGCTTGTCCGATTGGTGTGATTTCCCTCTAAAATCATTTTCCACATCGGTTGGGTGACTTTTCGGTGATGCAGCACCGCCACACCGCTTTTCTCTGCGTTTCATGTTTGTGGTGAACTGGTGTAACACCTTCACCACATTCACCGGTGAAACTAGTTCCCACGGTCTCTGCTCATCCTTTTCGTCATCCGCATGGAACACGGTACCGTCAGTTACTTCGCTGGTGTTTGTATGTTTCTCTTCTGGATCTTTTTGAAGCATATCCTGTGAGGTGGTCCAAATCGACATGGGCTGCTATATGAAAAACAAGAGGAAGTAGATCCGCTAGTCCCCACTCTGAATAGCATTTGTGCTTCGGTTCTCCTATTGTCGTGGATACTGACCTAAACTGTGTTTTCAAGTCATTGCGTCCACTGAAGTCTAGCTTTGCAAAAACACATATATGTGTAGGAGAACTGCAACCCTAAATTTTCCTTTGCGCTTTCACCGTGCGACCTGCTTGACGCGGAACGAGCCCAACTATTTACGGGTCACTGCTTTCCACAGCTCTCATTCTGTGAATATATCACCGTGAAAGACACCAAATCACGTTTTGTTTTCAATGGACTCAGTCGATCGTGACATTAAATGCACTACGTGGTCGATCAGTGACGGTTCTGAGGGCCCATGCATAAGCTGCCCTCCATAGTTTGAAAACAACCCATGAGGTGTAACGGATTCACACAAATTTCCCGCCTTCTGCTGCAACAAAAGTGGCCAAATCGCCAATCAATGATGGGCCCATCAACTCGATGTATCTATATTTGTTAAGTATCTAGGTTGATGTTGACGGAACTAATCACTCATTTTTATGAGCATGGTGATGTAAACTACTCTTCCGTGAACCGAAAAAATAAGAAATATTAGGGGCAAAATCTACAGATTTGAAGTCCTATTGTGCAGATGCACCGATTCTTCTCTACTTAAGTGACGGTTTCATCTTAGTGTCCCCCCTGAAGAGATGGGAGTAATTACGGAGTGAATGCAGGTGGGATGTTTTGTCACACTTATCATACCAAGGCTCAGCATTTGTAAGCGCCGTGGAGCAATTATATACCTTTTCGAGGTTACATTACTGCCAATGTATCTGGTGATTCCCCCAATGAGGCTGCTGCTAGAGACTACTTTTCTGCACTTCTGGTTACTCACGAGTAGTCTGATTAACGCCTGTTTACAATAATGACGCTTTGCGTTCGTGTTGCCTGTCCCCCCGAGTTTTTGCTCGCGCTTAGGGTTTGTCTAGCCTCTAGTTACCAGCGTCAAGATTATGTCGCCTGCCCGTCCTCGTTTTTCAATTTTGTGTCAAATTCACCTATTTTCCAATGTCTGTTCCGTTAGGAAGGCAGGTTACCCTGGAACCGAACTCAAACTCTCGTGTGGGAGACGAGCGCGCTGTTGGCTACGCCACCGGACATGAGAGGCAGCCCTATTTGTCAAATATAGGTTCATTTTGCATTTCGTTTGATAGTGTTTATTGAGAATTTGTTTTAAATGGGCCTGAACACACATTCCTATTCAACATGTGGCACGCGTTTCCTCATCATGCTTTCAGCTAAAGACTGCTAGTCTATTTAATTTGTGCTAAATTCACCTGATACCAGTTTTCCAGACAGTTTCCGTTACCCCGGAACGTACTGACTGTCCTCTCCGCGTTTGACTATGTACATGGCCTCTTTACACTGCCTGACTCTCTGCACCCATACGTTTGTGCATCATTTGGTACTTACTCGTTATTACTTCCAGAGGGCCATGCTGCTCGCTGCCCTCATTTCTGTTCTTACCCATTGCAGATCCTGCTTGATTCATAATGTTTATTAACGTATTTGGCCATAGAATCAATTCTCAGCACTGCATCTACTTCCCTCATCCGTCTGTTCTTACCGCCTACTGAATACAAATTGCGTATAGTCCGATGATTCTAACTGTCCTGTAAGATTTTTCGCCGACCGGATCTTACTATAGCTTTATAAATTTCATCCTTTAAATACGATAAACCTAAACTCAAAACCCGAAGAGCACATAAAAAGGAACAAAACGAGGAAAGGCTTCATTGTTCCTGGGAAACACTGATGGGGATAGTCTCACTAAACTATGGGAGGCCTTGTGGTTGCAATCTCCTAGTTAATAGCTGAACACCGTGCGATTTCCGCGAAAGGTTCGCCAGTAACTGACACTTTAATCCGCTGCTTGGAGTGGACCAACTTGGGAAGATAGTCCAAAAGGGTGAAATGTCTGCAATTTTTTTCGGATGTTGAGCTTGTAGCGGACATTTCCATGTCCCCTCAACCGGTTTCACCTAATTTGTCCAGTACATGCGTGTTTACTAGATCCCGCGACTGACCTGCTATACAAGTCAGTTCCTGTCTAGTACGCATCGGAACGATTCATGTTTTATACACACGTCAAACTCTCCTATATAAGGACAGAACACAATCAAACACACACACCCTCACGCATCACTCGCGCGTCGGAACAGACCGGCGCGACCCAACAACAACCGCGGATAATTAAGAACGTGTAGCAGTGAATCTGCCAAAAGAAACACGATTACCTGCGCTCAAACCAAAATCGGTGGAACTATTGCAACTTCCGTTCAGAACGATAAGTCCTTCATTTGCACATTCCCATTTTTGGTATTGTATTCGACTCGATTAAGGTGTTGTAACCTTACGCCCTTAAAGCAAATTTTATTAGTGTCGTTTTCTAGCCTTCTGATTTATCAAGTGGTTTTTGTTGTTAACAACAGAGAACACTAATAAGCTCAAGTTAATTTTAGGTGTGAGGGATTCTCCGAATTCCAGACCACTTGGTCCGTCTTATTATTCCGCCAGTGAAACTTCCATGATAAGTTTACCGTTCTGCCCACCTGGCCAGGTGAGTTGGGTACTTGAAAACCTGCATTTTGTTTTACTTCAGGTTGTTTGACTCTATTTTCGACGCTTTTTGGCTTAATATCTTTATAGTTTGGGATCTAAACGGGACTCTTTCTGACCATAGAGATGATGCGCTCTTTACTTGGTTCTGATTCTAGAGTGCAGGGATTGCATGTGATAAGATTATCCTATCTGGAGCAAGAAAAAAAACTTACCTTTGATTCGGAAAAATCTGCCAGTATATCACTAGTCCTGCCAGTTTGTACTGACACATGCTGATTGATGTGATTGCTGAGACCATCTTCCACATCGTTGATTGGAGGACAATCAATGGCGATCGCAGCATCGGCCGATGTGGCCGTCACAAAGTTTTCTTCGTCCGATTTTTGTACTGATTCATCCACATTCTGAGTTGAACCAGTAGGTTGTGCTGTCAATTTTCAGAAGTGAGGATGTACTAGGTAAAGGTTTTTGGAGGATTTTGACTTCTTGTTATCGTATTTGTTTTCAGTAACCAACTAATTCGTATTGAGTTTTTACACCTTAAACTTTGTGTTAAAATAGTAGCCAGTGCTACATGTTTACTGTTGCCTGTTTTTTCAGCAGCCATATACCGATTTTGACTAAAGATATTAAGCGGAAATCTCTACAATGCCACCTAATGCGCTAACCATTGATGACAGAATACCATTTGGATAATATTCTGGCCTCAAGCCTTTCTCCATAATGTCCTTTCACTGTCACTGGATAACTCTCTGTACTAGGTGGGACCAATGAACTTTTGTTTGCAACGTACGCTAACCACCTTTGTGCGTGAAGATGTTTTTTTGGGGGGAATGACTGAGCAAATGATGTGCAAAATAGCTACGATAGGGTGGTCTATGAAGTCCTCGCATACTGGTAGCCTTCACTATCCACACACACACACACACACACACAAACGTCGAAATGGTTATCTCGGTCTCCGTATAGAGAATGCCATCGGTCAAACGTGAAATAGCTCATTCTACTCAGTCGGCCAACTAGTGACAACCAGGCATATGATGGAAGACCTGCATTGAAGGATATTTTGGGTAAATAGATGGGAATTCACCAGATAACCGAGTAAGAGCAACGCCAGTTTTAACAAAAAGCTCAGGTGAATATCGACTGGATCTCTCGTTCATGGTGTTCCTCAATGATAAGCCAAAGATAGCCAAACGCTTCAGCTGAAGTGGCATTCAAGGCGTTGATGTATTTTTTTTCCTCAAACAAAGCTTTTTATAGGGACATAAAAAAACGAGAGATTTGGGCGAGATTCATTTAGGTCTTCCACCGACATCAACTTTGTCCACAGTTAGTTCATAGCTTCACTTTCATACCAGTTAGGAAATATGAATGCTATGAAACCGCTGCACCACGCCTATCCGATGGGTCCCAAAAAGGGCAATTACCGCTAGTGGCGCTTCATACGACAACGTGTAAATGTCGCAAACAACATCTAGGGGTTTTCCAAACATTATAACAGTCGGTAATCAGTCTAGCGCAAAAAGCCGTAAATTAGGGTCTTTAAGCAGTACTTGTGGCATCTCCAGAAGGAACACGGCGGCCGAACTCATGAATTGTGCAATACAGTCCATGTGGGTCGTTTCGCAAACAGCACCCAAGTGCTTGTGGTGAAAAGTGTTATGCAGGACTGCGTGGCTGATTGTAATGGAAAGTTTTTTCGACTGCTTTAAACGTAAAATTACTCCGGGATAACACCGGAGTTGTCTGTTCCCAGTCCGGAAACGCTTGCTTCATCGATATCTTGAGAATGGATGGAATCGGACCGAATGTGATCCAACGCGAACGAAATGTACTTATTGTTTATCAGAGGACTGACAATATTTTTCTCTGGCTGCTACACAGGAGCATCGATTTATGTTGGCCACGACCTTTTGTGGATGCTGAATCTTGCTTTAGTTTTGCTTATCGTTGCTCTTTCTTCGCGTTATTTTGGTTTGTCAACTGGGGGTTCTGTTAGTCTCTCAGTGCAACGGTTGTCCCAATTGTCTGGGCAGTTGTTTTCTATTATGGCAGCTTTCTGCCAACTCATCAGTTCACTTCATCTTCTCTAGCTTGAACTGATACATATACTCCAGAACGCTTTTAATGTTTTCTAGTGAGGGTTTCATTGTCTACCTCGTTGTGTGTTAAATGTTGTGTCCTGTTTGAAACTATTCGTTTGTGCTATTTCGGGAGCAGCTCATTCTGAGTCTTGTCTTCTTTGGGAGTTAGCAGTATGGCCGTTCCATAGATACAGAAGTGCCAGTCCAAACAACTCATCCTGCTAACACTGCTACCACAGGTTGCCCTGCATGAAGTGATCGTATAACATTATAAAACATGGTATAACACAGTGATTCAAATTTGGCACACTCAGATTAATTTCAGGAGCTGTCTGCTATTGACATTTATTCCAATGGTCAGGCGATTTGGCTTCCCCAAGAAGAGTTCTATTTAAACCTAAATGATGCCTTTTGCGGATACACATTAGTTGGGTTTTAATATCGTTTCAGCGGTTGCTGCCTCTGAAAAGAATGGTCATGGAGTATGCATGGGCAACTAGTTTTTATTTATGAAACTTCCTGAGTCCTGGTGTGGAAGTTGTCGGTCGAAAGAATGTGCTGCATACACTCGGGCTGAATTTTGGTAACTCACTTTCGGTTTCGAGACTGTCTATCACCGCCTCAGTTTGTGGTTGTATCAGCCGAATCACCTTTGCTGATCGGGTTTGTTTGTCCAAAAAATGTGTGTGTGTCGGTTGTATGATAAAATGAGTGAATAGGTAATTCAGCTCCTCTTCGTTGGTCACACCAAGAGCCTAAAATCCAATCACCAGATGTAAATAACGAATAAATAAATAACCATCACTTTACGAGTTTGTTGGGATTCCGGTGCATTTAAGACGTAAAACCATGGTTTACTTACCGCATTAATGGTGGGCTGTCTTTTGCAAAGACAAAAACATTAGAGGCAACGAAAATGAGAAGCAATTTGCTATACGACTGACGCTTTTCTCCATCCAAACAGATGTGTGGTTGTTCTTTTTCTCAGAGGTACGTCAACTTATATCTGGTCACACCCCTTTACGCTAGACGCCTTGCAATTTTATGTTACGGTTTGTAGTATGTAATAACCACATAAATCCGTTTTTTCATGTTTGTTTCCTGTCACACGGGAAAGTCCACTGCAATAAGGACTGAGAGATAGCGGGCTTCAATAAGCCCGAGCGATCGGGACTCAAAGTAGGCGTTTTCTGGCTTGATAATGAGGAGGCATCTTAGCACCTTTTACACAAAAGTAGTCTTTTAGGAGCCACCTAGTTATTTCTGAAACTAGAAAAATGAAGTACCAGGGTAAATCAAATATGTAGAAATGTGTTCTACACCTTGTCAAAGGTGAACATTTCTTGTTTGTTATGTTGACAGTAGACGCGTTTAAACTAGTACGCCACTGACAACAAAACAGAGTTTTGATTAAGTCGTTGGCCGACTGATCAAGTAAACTTTTATTCAGGCTTACTGTTGCAGGCAGAAAAGTGAGGAAAATCAACAGGGAAATCCGGGAGAAAGTGAAGTTCCTTGACCTCTTCATCAGGTGGGAACAATCTAGGTTATTTGTCCGCCCTATTTGATTGTCCTTCTGAAGAAGCAGTGCTACTCGTACGGCGGCAGCCACCAAAAAATGTGAAACTTCCCCTTAATATCAAAACTTGTAGAATCCCAGTAAGGCTCCTCGGGTTTAGGTTTTCATTTACTTTATTCGTGTGTGGGAAAATGTACTAATACGCAAAACTGTCAAGGCGAAGGCTGCAAATCCGACGGTTGGCATCAACCAGGTCCTTCATGAGGGTTTTGACAGATTAGGAATGGTTCTGACCACTCAGCAGGGTTATGTATGAATCCTGAGAAATGTTTACGCACCTACTAACCACGGCGAAAGTCATTTGGATTTAAAGATATTGGGGTATCCTGTTTGTGAATTTCAACACCTGATTGACATTGCCACACCGCAAATATTCCTCACTATGGTTGTGGATTTGAGCTTTGTTTATTTGGTCAGGTTTTTGTGGATGTTCACCTTAGTCTCTTGCTGTTTGGTGAATGCCATGAATGACAGTTACTTTTTAGACTCTGTCATGCCAATGAATTCGTTATCAATTGCTTTTATTTTATCTCCATGTTTGTGGGGTTCCTATCAGGAGATCTGTCGAATGGTGTTGTTGAGTATAATAGTCAACAGTAACTGAAAGCCAACTCCAATGAATGAGCTGCGAACTTTCCAGAAATACTGCAACAGGTGATGAGGAACTAACCAATTATGATCGCATTATGCGTGCTAAGTGTCTGTAAGCCGTCAAATAGACCTAAACCAATTGGCTTTACCCAAGGACCAAGACAGATGCTGAAACGATGAAAAAAAAATCAGGGGAACATGAAAATCTTGGTTATGGTTCAGGTACTTACAGTTAGAATTGTATCCAACCTCATAAGCGTTTCTTCTTCATGAGTTAAGGGCTTCAGCAAACGCTTGAGTTTTTCCTCAATCAGAAACTCCTAAAGATAAGGAATTTGCATAGTTAGAAGTTTTCGAGTGTATGGTATCGCTATATACATATTCATATCCAGTGATGTGTAAGGTACCGATGCTAGCAAACAGAGATCCCTTACCTGAAGTATTCTTACTTGAGCCTCAAGGCGTATGAGCACAACTTACGTTCTCAAAGTTAATGACTACCGCCGTTAAAACACCCTTCGAAAAATTCACTTGATCATGAAGTCATCGTTGTGCTAAAAGTCTTGGAGTCCTGTCGGTGCGTAGCTGCCACGCAACCAGAAGGAAATACGAGCTCATGTCGGGTAATTTGAGCCTAGAGAGTGAAAATTGGAACGGCCAGGTTGGATTCAAACCTAATCACTGAACTCTATGAAGTCCAGACATTCTGTGAGGTATTTTTGCCCATGAGAAGCCCATAAAGTAATGGTTGTCGGAAATGAATTGATGTGAGATCTTGACTGGAAATACATAGCCATACCACAAATCAGGTGAACCTTAGAATTCATCGTAATTTTCTGAACAGACAAAACTATAATCGTTTGATTTTCTTACCGGTTCGTAGCAGAGTAGATTGAGAAAATCACGCACGACTTCCGGAGAAACGTCACGAAGAGACTCTGGAATCTTATTTGCTTCAGCCTTTACCATGGCATGTGTTTTTCTGAAAATGGAAGAGCGAACCATAGAGGACAGTATCAGTTCTTTGGAACTGGTAAGTTAGCCAACAGAAGGTTGTTGTCGGGTTGAGCATAAGCCAGTATTGCTAATCACATAAATGTAACTCGGACAATGTATAAGAACAGCATATAAAGTCGACCTCTCTGAGGTGCAACGACAGACTCCATCACCCAATCATGTGATGACATGGCGATTTTAGCTAGTTTGCAGCATCAGCACTACTTTCCATCATCATTCTCATTAGTAGAAGCTCTGCCACTTGGGAGCATATGACAGCGGCCATGTATCCTTGGGCATACTGAACACGTAAGGCGAATGAACATATAACGTTTTTGTAATCACATTGGTTGGAATACTGAAACACCTGAGTAGCATGCAGATGGCAAGAAATATTTTCATCTGTACATCAAAGCAAGTCCATGAAGTACGCAGGAACAAGAGTGGCACTCATTGCTAAGAGACTCAACATATTCATGCTGTCAGTGAAATAAATATTGCGCCTTGACTTCATTAGCTCCAGATTTGTCTAGTTCGTTAGCCGATGATGGAGTGAATGAACAGCTGAAGAACATTTAATGAGGCCTATGCCTTAAAAACATTGCAAAAGTTTACGCTCTCGACATTTAAGTGTGGAAACTGAGTTTCGGGCCCTCAGTACACAACAGAAGATGCCAAATATTCAATAGTTGAAAAATTTCCAGGGAAGATCACTCAATCTTATTTGCTCACTGCGTTCATGTGAGATCCAATTAGTCAGATGGACTTTAAGGCCGGAATTGAAAATGCGGGAGGGATTATTGACTATAGTAAGTGAGTTAGCCACTTGGAATCTGTTATTGGGAGCTTCAGGAATGTGTTATTTGTTGAAGTCCAAAAGCTAGCTAGATTTGTGTTCTTCCGGCCCCTTCAGTTTTTCTAGGAGAGCATTGTCCTAGTTTCTAACGGATATTGTTGATGTTCTTGAAGGCAATGATGACGACGGTACTGTTAAAGTGTGTGGCTTTTCCTGGCAAGAAAAGGCAATGAATTGACAGATGAACAACATAATAAGCTGTATCACGGGCACAACAATGCTGGTTCAATCTGCTTAAGACTGCATTGAGGGTTTTAATTGAGCATGCATCTATCTATTTGTCGGTTGTAAATATTCTTCAAATTATGCGCACCCATGTAAGGCGTGCACTGGTTACTGAAAGCGGAATATTTGTGAAATAGACCAAACCCTTTTAGGTTCTGAAAGGAGCCTAACTTCTTCATCTCTGCCGGAAACTGGACTACATAACTGAATAAGTGGGTACAGCTTTAAGGACAGATAACCATTAATCAATACGAAGTAGCCTGTTCGGATATGGTTGTACGGCAATGAAGCATCGGTGTTGAACACTGATGCTGGATTTAGCTCAGAAGTACATACAATAGAGCCTTAACTATGGCTTAGTAACGAGAGTAAAGTTTGCAATCGCAGATGGGACGTATATGTATATAGACTATCTATGCTGCTGAATTGCCTCGATAGAGTTTGAATGCTGTAGTCAAGAGTGACTCATCTTGCGCATGGCTGCTGTGGTGTACGATCGCCTTTCATGAGCACGTGCTCACCGAAACATGCACGGTCACCGACCTGCTACTTGCGATGGACAGTGCACTCAATCCTCATGAGGTGATTTCAGCAACATTTTGAATACTAGCACATGATTAAGTAATATAGCCTCTGCGCTTATTAATCCAAGTGGCTGCGTTTTGCTTTACACACTGCCCCTTTAGTGTTTGACCACGAAATTAAGTTGGATGCTAAGGCACATGTAGGTGGCGCATGGACGGAGTGCACAGTAACCTCGGTTTAGGCAAATGATTGAGGCTCCAATGGACCTACTATGATAAGTTTGATAATGATGATAATTTGAAACCAAAAGCTACTTGGCGTAACAAGACGGTGAATCCTATCACAAAAATACCAAAAATTACTGGTTATACACCAGTTATTGGTCAGCTAATATACTAAGCTGGGCGGCAATATGACGATTCGTCAGACGAATGCACAATAGAAGTGATTTCGTCAGCCTCAATGTTGCGTGAACTTGGAGTATATGCGTACATGATAGACTAGAAACTTACTGAGACTGGAAAGCATATTGCATGGCAATGACAGCTGGTGGGCGGCAGGTGATTTGTTCTATCGGTCCCGTCAACGGTCCAACATTACACATGAAGGTCCTGTGGAAGGAATTATACACATGTTTTTGAGCTTGATCGAAGTTGCAATATTGCATATTGGGAACTCATTTCAACGCAGAGTGAATGCTGTTGGAGTGGACTATAAGGTCCAATGGGACTGACACATTTGTTTGGAGATTGAATCTCCTTACGGCGAACAAAGTCCATGGCAAAGGCGTCTATGGTTGGCGAGGTACTTTGCTTCTGTTACCGAACACAAGGCACAATGATGACCTTCGGCAGAGAAGTATTCAGTTCAGCAATCTTAATTATGTACTGGCGGCATTTTCCCGCTGTGCAACTTACCTAAAATTAGGACCAAGATGTTGTCCGCTAAGGTCGATCGAGCAACCGAAACAGATCAGGCAGCAGATTCTTCAGACTTCTCATCCAATAGGGGGAATTGAATACAATTTTCAGCAGCTCATGTCAAGTTGGATTAAATTGGTTATGGTACGTTAGTGGCATCCTCCATAGTGTTCCAGAAACTATCACATCATAGGAACTCGTCTTATCTCAAGGGGATTCGAAACCCGAGCCTCACGTTTTCTGTACCGACACTAGATTAAACACAGTAGTAATCGTATTTGCTAATATTTTTGGGCCTTGCACGGTTCAGCAATCGTCATCTTTAGTTGGACAACAGTGAGACATCTGCCAGTGATAGCACCATGGAAAAAGAGGATTCCAAATCCTTTTTCTGACATCTACTTCAGTGGTAAGTTGGAGCTTATTTTGGACCCGTAAAGCTCTCAGACTTAGATTTAGACGGGAGAATACTCGGCCGCACAAGGTCCCAAAATCTTAGAGATTGTGAAAGTTACTAGTCCTAATCCACAATGGCGACATTCTTGACCAGAAAGGTCCTTTAAAAGAGTTTTCACTAAAAGCATGGTTTTTGGGCTCATATGATAAGTCACAAACCACAGCACTCAGTAACGAAAGAACCACACCCTTGATCGATAGGCCACTAGGTACGTATCGGGGGTTAGATAGCGCTGCCTCGAGGCTTAACAGGAAATTCTATAACTACCGAGGTCTACGAGTGTTTACTGACAAAGGTGTAAGGAGAATAGTTGATAGACTGATGTATTACACAAAGCAAATTCACAAACGCTGCTTTTTCAGAAGCGCCTGTTTCCTTCGCAGAAAGGCCGACTAATCGCTGAGAATGGATGTGTATTTTCACAGAGTATTACGTCATTATCATGCAAAAAGCTACTGTGTACGTTTCGAATGGTTTACAAGTGTTCAAGGTTGGTAGTCGATACTCTTCGAAAGATTTATCGTGTTTGATTGTCCGAAGTTCTCAGCAATATGTTTACATCTTGCGGCGGAGCTAACTTACCTCAAGGATGTCTATTCATTTCGACTGCTTAGCTAACACTGTAACTGCATACGCACCTTGGTAGGAAACTCGAGTCAAAGCTCTTCCAACCCATTGAATGATCCTAGGGTCAATGAGCCATTATTAACCATAATCCTGTATATTTATCATCGTCATTTTCATGCGGTCACCAAACTGTTAAGCTCAGTGTACATTTCCGTCAGTTCATATCATGCTGTCAGCTATTGCCTCATTATTCTGAAGGAACAAAAACTAAACAGACCCGCATAACTGGTAACATCTTTGATGTAGGAGCTCCAATGACTGGGGGATTCAGCCAGATCACTAACCATCGATGAATTTAGTTTCGATGTTTTCATCCAGGGAGGCAGAGCTTGCTAGTTTGTCTTTAATACTTTGTTGCCAGGTTACAGAGCATCTGCCCATCAATTGCTTCCACCCTGCTCAGAGTTGAACAAGGAAGCCCTGTGGAGCAGAGGGTCCCTTGAATTGTGAAGTGAATGTCCTAACTAGCGTAAACTATAGACATTTTACACCCTACTCCTTGGGAGGCAGTTCGTTTCTCCTAAAGTCGTCTTCTTACATTAGCAACCCTCATCCGATGTTCTAACCAGACGCGGCCAATGATGATAAGGCGCCGACAAATATCATACGTCCTCTGCGCATACAGGCCCCATTTCTGATCATTCAAACAGTGAAGACCACACCGTCGCGAAGTACACTCTGCCAGTGGCATAAGCTGGTTATCACATCTGCGTCATAGTTGTGGAGGCTGACCTTCCAGATTCGAGAACTGGTATCGTCCTCAGCCAGTTCACCGAAACTTACATAGCGACAAAGCTTGATAAATTTATGACTTCGACTGTCTTGTTTGGGATATTGAGGTTCATGCTTGATCCCACTCAGCCTTATAACAACAACTTACAAGTTCAGTGTGCGAAGTACATAAAAAACCATACGGCAAAATTATTTATTTTCCTCAAAGACGCTTGTATTTTTAGAAAAGCTGAAACAGGGGAAGGAGTATCGTCCGCGTACTCGGTATCTATGAATAACACTCCAGGAGCGATCCACTCCCCGAGTTTCCAGAGGCAGATGACGTTTCAAGTAGCACTTCAATAAAAAAAATTGAGAACTGTTTGAAGGGCCTTGTATTACACTTCTGGTGAACTCAGACCTCAAATGAGTTAACATACAGTGTTCCCGCTAGAACAGTCTTCAAATGAAGAAAAACAGCTATCATAAGACGTTTGACAACCTATCTCAAGGTACAGATGCGGTCAACACATCCTCGGCCATGGCGAAACCCGATTTTTTCTTACAAATTCACCTTTTCCGGTGATCGAAAAACGTACGCACCTTGGATGTCATGACCATCAGGCTGAAGTCACGGTGGTTCCTGTATGATTTCTTTTCGTCCAGTTTGAAGGATGGAGTCACGGGCGAAGCGTTCCATTAAAGCGGTATTCTACTTTTATTCAAAATAATCGGTTTTAGGGTTGCCAGGGTTTAACCACCCTCGTTGAAAAATGCAGCAGCAGACAACTCGGGCTGGATGTCCTGTCGCGTCGAAAGAAATCATATCACTGGCAGGACTTCTTTTGTCGGATGGCAGGTTGGTGTTCGGACCAGTTGGGTTCTTCCAGGGATTATTTTGAACAAAAGCCGGCTTAGCTGTCCACTGGATTGCACAGTGAAGACTGTGCGAATGAACAATCACTACATCTTTTTTCGCAAATGGTTCCGCTAACACTTATTTTAACTTGGCTAGGTTGTCGCATTATCCGAAACTCGGCACAAATGTTTACTGCAGCGTAATCCTTTTCCGAATCCCAGCCTTTGCAACCAGCCGACTCTATCCATCATTCTTTAGTCTATTAACTGATCGGGATCTGCGTCCACCATCATTGTTGCTAGTTGTTGGTATGGTTTCCAGGAGTCCACAAGATGTTATGTCGATGAAATCCTGCGTTTTTTTATTCGAGTCGGATTGCCTAGACGCACGCTCCCAAAAGTCGATGGAATTGATTTTTTAAAAACTCTTGCACTCATCCTTTAACTACTATGTGTAGTCATCTTGGCTGTCCGAAATCCGTAGATGTTCGGCCAGATTAACGCAATATCAAACAATCAAAGCCGTTGAAATTGACAAACAGAAGTGTTTCACTTCAGGCTGTGTAATCATGAGGTAGAGCGAACTGATACCTGAGCCCACACAGTGACATGATTAGAGTCCGGTTGCGTTTCCAAAGGGCACGTCGATTTCTGATTGAGGCTTTCCTTCGGCCATTTTAGCCGCCTGAGTTGATGACTGGCTTGCATCTGATGACTTCAAAATAACAGTGTGAGGTGGACTTTCCTACTGGCCAGAGACGGATAATTTTCTGTACCTTTTCTCTGGAAAAGCTTCCCCTCATCATACTTAAAGTGAGTGTTGATTCTGGTTCGCCCAACAAGCTGTGCTTCTTCCGGGCTTAGTCACTCAAAATGAACCTTTACACACCCGGCAGGATGACACATCCTTCTTACTGAACGAAGCAGTCGCGAAGGCCTCACAAAACTCACATCAAAGTCATAGAAACAGTGACAATGACACCAACAAAAAAACAGGTGTCTCAAGGACAATTGCAATAAAAAGCACAGGTAGTTGGTACAATCGTAGCCTTATTTCGAAAGGTAACCCTTTTCACGTTCAATTTTTCCAATCCAGCCAAGACTGATGAAGAGACTGAAACCAGGTAATGAAGGATTCATTTAGAATTCCTGTGAGTTTATCGCGTTCTTGGTTCAGAACAAATGCTAGAGAAATATTTTTTTTATTGATATGGTAGCTACAAACTAAATTTGACGTGCAGAGGTCAGGAGCTGTAGAGAATGCCAAATATTGAAGTTCCACGTCATTGAAAAACCCGTATGATTTTAAGTTGGCAGTGCAAGTGTTGGCCATGGACTACACTTTTGGCCATTGAAGACTATTATCCAGCCTTCAGTATGATTAGCCCAGTTTTTACCGGGAGACTAATGGGAAAATCCCCTCCTGTGTCACTTAGGCCACCTGCGAATATGAACCTTTCCAGCGGAGTGAGCTCACAAATGACGACGGTAAAGTACTTGTGTTTGCTAAAAAGAGACAGATATTTGTACCCGGATTCCACTCAGCCTGATAGCCAGGTCTGCCAATCAACAATTGGCGGACTAACGAATACAGCTGTAGAGTTACATACGTGAAAGAATAATGCTTGATACCACAACATTCACCCAGATCTTGCTGTTGCTGTGTGAAATGATAGCTTTAGAGTCCTTGTCCTCATAGTTAGCTGATGCCTTTATGAAGCTTTCGGAAGCAAAGGATGGTGAAGTTTTCAACGGTAAAACTAAGACTGTTCAACAAATGCAAAGCACACCTCTTTGTCCAATCCTGTGTTTCATGTCTATGACATCCGATTGGGTAATTTGTGACCAAACTGAGAAATGTTGAGCTAAATCTCAGAAAACGCTACACATTAGATATTTAGACTGCTCAGCGCTGATACTCAGGGACAGAAAGACGAAAAGCAGCTTATTGTGCCTCTCATATCCTTCAATTATACGACCCATTCCAAGTCTGAAACACTAGGCTAAAACCCCAAATATTGCTTATGCTTTCGTGCTGCTGTCTATCCAACGGAAAGTCAGCCATTTCGACGCATATTCTAGTCTACTTTCTAGACCACGTGCTATTTGGGACATCCCAATAGTTTGGGATGTTTTTATAGTTTGGCACAGTGTTTTGTAGTGTGACTTCAAACACAGATGGTTGTCCGTGGTTGGCAAACACCAGCGAAGTCATGTGTTTCATAAACTGCTGGGTAGGAGTAGGGTAGTAATACCCAAGATTAAGCACGTGAAACGATATTGATTCTGTTAGACATAAATGTGTTGTTTACAGCCATTGCCGTGACTACTGAAGGGGCACTTGATAAGGTCCTCCTGTTGCCTAACGCCTTAATGAATGCAAACGTCATTTTTGGGGACCTGAGACAGCCATGGTAAGTTACGACAGCGTCTTCGGATCTCGTAACTAAACACTTTCCCCAGGTACCTGACGCTTAGTGTTTCTCGAACATAGCAGTCTTTAAAGTCTTACAGCTTCCGGATGTCTCCTACTCTTAGGGGCAACGTTTTACAGCCATGAATTAGGACAGAACAGAGCATTGCTTTCAAAACCCAAACATGTGCGCGCAAGCCGGTTTCACCTCTTTCCTTCATTGCGTTTTTCGGGAAAACGACCATATATCTGACGTTATCAGTCTGACGCTAATTCTATCCTTTGTCCTTTCCGTTGGATAAACTGGTTGATACATCAATGAAGTAAAATTTTCTGTCCCTTCAACTTAGTGCAAACAATTCCATACATGCGGATTAAAACATGGTATTCGTCGTGTGAATCCCTAGTCCTGCAAGTGCGGCACAGTTATCTGGATGTGTTGAAGTTTTCCCAAAATCTCAATGACGCTAACTTGTTTTGTGGGCTCACAGAAAAAAATCATTCAGCTAGAGCATTTCTACGGTGGCAACTCAAATGTCTAGTCGATTGAAAGAATAAACAATACTGGTGACAGTGTTAGATTGGACACAATACTGAAAGCAGGAATATGTCTGTGCGCAGGATGTTGCTGACATGTGATAAGTCTCAGAACGATTCCATTACGATGAACATTTTACTTCACAAAGGGATGTGCTGTGATAGTTTGGCGTTATAAACGCCTTGTCCGAAACCAAACAGGGTTGGTGCATGCGTATCTCTCAGTTGTAGCTGTTCCTTCATAAACTGAGTTGTTCATTCAACTGACTGATGTTTATCCGATTGACAGATTAGCCCAAGTGCCTAAGTTGTCTTTTATACTGGACTTCAATGCATGTTATTAGTTATTCAATTGATCCTGAAGAATGGACACTGCCTAAAACGCTCCGTTCCGATACGTCACCTGACTTTTTCTTTGTCGTTTCCTAACCCTACGATGTTATCAATGCATGTGAACAAACATCTGGGGATAGGTGCGCTTTTGGGGAATCACTAAGCTCTGGTTGCCCCGAGTTAGGTCCACCGACCTAGTCTTTCTTGTGATGGCAGTGTACTCGGTGTTGCTCTTTATGATAGCGTATACAAAATGTTCACTTCAATGTCTATTTTTGTCGCGGTAAAATAAAATACAGCATTCTCTTCCCATGGATACAAGCTCTTTGAAATGAACGAACAGAACTTTATAGTGATACCAACTCACATGTCAGGTCTTGTCCACGGCAAACCAAGCTGTTGTTCGTTTATCACGCGATTAGCCTCCAGCAAACGATTGGTGAGCTTCTTCAGATTCTCCTCGTTCATAATCCAAATATCTCGAAAGTTTCGATGCTCCGCTTCAATGAAAAGTCTGATTGGAAGTGACACGAAATGCAACGGATTTTGTACAGTTTAATGATTTCCTGCCAGAGCAGTTATTGTCATAGCTACAATGCAATAGGAAACTGTCTAAACCATGTAAAGGTGAACTGAAAAAAAAATGCACACAGATCGCGGGAATGCCGTGGGAATAAAATTTTTGCGATGACTCCTTCGATGGTGTTGAAGTAAAGGTAGTCGATCAACCGGTCAGAGCGACTGGAAGGAACTCTAGTGACTACTATCGATAAGTCACTTCACCATGAAGCTGCATAGATTCATCATCATCATTGTCAGCTGAATAACCGCGGGATAGGTGGCTGCGCATTGCAGGCGAGAGCTGATAAATTGGTGAATAAATCCAGCACTGTCAGTGGGCTGTCAAGTGGGGGGGGGTTGGAAAAGAAGCTATGCATTGAAGGCAATAGGTTGGATGCACGAGCGCCATTGAGGGTGTGACTGGGCCATATCTGACAATGTCTCTAGCCATTGATGTGACCCGTCTCGGGGTCCCCATCCAGGAAGACGGTAGTGACCAGCGCAGCTGAGTTTGCTGGTAATGGCTTTCATACTTCGCTGCCAAGTCATTGTTTGACCGCCTCTGGCTCTCTTCCACCCTTCACGTGGTTGTGCGAAAAGAGCCCTGCATAGATTATCTTAGAATAAAGGAATATACGCCTCTGATGAGAGCAGAGAACTAAGGGCAACACCATGCAAACTGATGGCTTTTATCTGTCACCATAGGCTCTGAGGCCACTCCTTCCCTTGTAAACTAATAACGTCGATTCAGATGTTGCAAACAGATTTTTCCAGTGTGTTCGAGGTTGGAATTTTTTGTCTTACCGCATGATTAGTAGAGCGTTGCCTCGGCATGAAATAGTGGTTGTCATAAAACCAAGCGATTCGCGCTCTTTCACTTTCTCAGGAAACGGGCTGTATTAGTAGGTGCCACATGGGGTGGTAATGATGACACTCACAATCTTAGTTCGCTGTGAGATCCCACTTTCGGAAGTCTTAACATCTCAGTCAAGCAAAGTATCAGTACTTCATCACCCTTTCGGCGACCAGCCTACCCTGTACATAAGTGGTGAATACTCGCTCAGTATGTATATTTTCCGACGGAAACTGAACAAATATGTATTCTCCCCACAATGCCGGTGTGTATCCAGTCATTAAAGGTTGAAACATTTAACATAATATACGGGGTTTTGCACGCGGTATCTTCACGTCCTTTATTATTACGATTGTTTCAGTTTCCTAAGAATCGATGATGATTGACTGAAAAGAATATTTATAAACGAAATGCTGGATGGGGCCTCTGGCATCCTCCAGCACCTGCTCCGGGTCAAGTTTGCACTAATTTTTGCCCATTTTTCACTATTCAAACCACTCAATCTGGCGTGAGAAGTGACCCTGATAAACTTATCCGTGTGTGCACAATGAAGTGACCCTTCCATCAGTTTCGTTGGTCTGAACAGACAACAGCTTGCTATTGGACAAAAAATACGGAAAAAGCCAAAAGAGTGAGCACCGTAAAATCGGTGCACCGTTCCCCCGTTCCAATGATATTTAAACTGCTTTCTGGATTATCTATTTACTGCAACAATTTAGCCAATGGACGGAGGGGTAGACAGTCTGGAGATTGTTCTCTTCATGATGCGTGTCCCTGGTGGTTGTTCAAATATTTATCCAATAGGGGAGCCATTAGCTGAACAGTTTTAGCTTTTTGTGCGAGCACCATAACGTTCTATCAGTTTGTTTAAACACTGAACACAGTTCGATCCACCTCAAAAAATCCATCAGCTTATTCCATCACTACGCTGATAATGAAGATAGTTCTCTAAACTTGGAATTCTTACCATTGCACCTGGCGTTTGTAAAATATATTAACCTGAAGTCTGGTTTATAGGAACCTGATATTTGGAAATCTCCTTCTGTCACTCTGCCTAACTGTTCCTGTTTGTAGTTCTGCGCTTTGTTCTCAGTGAACCCAATTTTTAGTAAATCATGTCTGGTCCTCAGTTTTCCATTCCCGTCTAGAAAACACTGTACAAAGCAATTTTTTGTCCATTCAGCATCGGAAGAAAAGAATGGAAGAGAGCACGTCAGAGCAAGACTCACGTTTGCTTAAACGCACGATTACTAATGCCTGGTCAGGAATATACGCTGTCTTGCGCGAATCCCGACAAAATTTCCTGTTTTACGGGAAACACGTGATCTGGTGTGGGGGGTACGCAAATCACAAGCCATCGCATTGAACTTTCGGTGGTCTGCGACAATTTCGGCACTCTAATCACATTATTCTAAATTTTCGGCGAAACCATTACTTACTTGGATTTCATCTGTAAATCTTTGAAGTTTTCCATTCTCCGCTTGTAGTCTTCGGAAAGCTGTTCGTTCTCCAAACTGTTGAAGAAAAATATTCAAAATGGATGTCGTTATCTAGGTTAAAACTCATAAACCTATGTAGGGGATAACTCCCCTGAATGATAAACGCTGCCAGAATGCACTGAGAATTTGTATATGACACAAATCGAATTATTCAAAGAGACAGTGCTCTACAGATCCACGATGTGTTGAACCAGATCCGGCACATTTTACCCTCTATACCAAATGGCTTTCCCAAATTGACTATTTCTTATCTAAATCCAGGCATTTTGCTATTCTATGAACAATGGCCAAGCAAATTAGGTGTTTAGTTGACGAGATTTGGTAATTTTAAATAGAGAGTTTTTCCTGGCCCCGAGGCCAATCTATACTGAAAAACCCAGGAGCAACTTACAGCTGTTTTATCCTTGCTGGGAACCATTGGTGGTGCGCAGCTCACGAAGTCCAGAGAGTTTGAACACCCACCAGTGTTTGAACACCTAACCAGTTGGCCACGAGTGGAAGGTTAGGCTTGTGATTAGCCATCACTTAGTGGTAAATAGATCGGTAGAAGTATAACTTTGCAAGATGAGTGAAAATTCCTTTTGAGAAGTTGCCACTCGAGGAGCCAGTCTTTACGTGACCACGTGATGTGGTGTCTGTGGTTGGATGAGAGGTGTTTTGTCCCATTTAAGCTTCACCTAATCGGACTGCTGATCAACCGCTCATGGTCAGACGGTTGGGTGTTCAACAACTGACTGGGAACTCGTGGGTTCAAGCCTCTGAGATGTGCACTGACGAAGATTCACAACAGGTATGAGAAATATATATGGTGCTTCTCGTGTTTTTAGTACACATTGGCCTCAGTGGCAACACAAAGTCTCTACTAAGGTAAACCTGTAGTTTTTGGCCAGACACAACGATTTCCTTGCAAAGACTTGAACGCCTTTTACGGTTCACTTTAATTCAGCAGCAGGTCTTGGGTTAAGATATCCACCGAAACGTGTCTACTGGTCCCATCAACGGCCAGTCACGTAATGGTGGGTTCGAGGCATCAGCATAGGAAATACTTAAGTGATCGAACTGACAACAGCGGTACCAATTGTCGTTAGTAGGCTCCCGTGAAATAACCATTTAAACCACCTGAAACCTACCAGTCCAGTTGCTAGAAGAAAACACTGTACAACTTTGAAAGTCAGGAATTTTTCTTCTGTTTCTTCTCGATGTTCAACTTCACTTAGTATAAAGCCTCTGGATACTGAACCACTGAATACTGGAACACAATCCTTCTGTCTTTGTTTTCCATATGCTGAGCATCCACATTCATAAAAAAGTGTATCCCTTCATGTCCACAAATGAAATTTATACGTTCTTCTAGTAACAGCCCTTCAGGTACCACAGGTAGAGATTCATTAAATCCTACTTACATGGTCCAAACCTTTTCATCATCATCATCATCATCATCATCATCATCATCATCATCATCATCATCATCATCATCATCATCGTCATCATCATCATCATCATCGACAACATGACACAATGTTCAACACCGGTGCTTCACTGACGTACAGTTTCCTTGTCATGACGCACTCTAGATGGAGCATTTAGTTTTAAATACACCTTCCGTCCTGCAGTGACAGAAGATCAAGATTTTTTGGAACCTTTATGGTGAACGTGTCGCCATGTGACTGGCCATAGTGTTACTGGGCTTTGGATAACAGCATGCAGTTCAATGAGATTGCCTAAGGAAAACACGGAGCGAGAAAATTGGGTTGATGCGGGGGGATCTGGGAGTAAATGCCCAACCACACAAGGATCGATTACTGGTAGCTTGTTGTATCTGACAGAATCTCTGAGGCGCAAGAAAAGAAAACTGGCTGCATTAGGTGTAAATGAATTATCCGATTCTATTTCCAGGGAGCCATGTGAGATGAAATTTCGGGTTAATATTAGCACTGAGTAACTCAGGATATCCCAAATCACCACTTGTGGCGTGCTGTCCACTTTTGTTTGGCGTCTTATCTTAAAAATTGTGCTGTAATAAAAGGACAAGAATTACGTGAAGATACCGAAATGAAATCAAGTGTATGCTTGGTGTTCATCAGCCAGTTATTGTTTCAAAATATTTACCTGTATTGTTTCTCCTGCCTCATCCCCCTGACATGGAGGTTGTTCAGCGTGTCTTGCAGTCGGGTAATCTTTCGCTTCTGGTTGGACTTTGTGATCATGTTTTCCTCATCACGTCGTTTGAGAACTTGGAAGTTGTACTCCAGCTTTTCGAGATTGTGCTGATAGGTAACTTTGAGTTGTCTAAGTTGAGCTTCGAGGGACTGCAAAGAAGGGCAGGAAGAATACAAAAGACAGGAGTTAGATATTCGGTGCACGTTCTAAATGCTATGTGTTTCAAGGGACAGTTAGTGGTGTTACCTTATCCTGAATAATAAAAGGGCCCCGTCTGTTTGACAGCAGGGCTTGCCTCGGAATCGAGATCTCCGACGATCAGAAATGTTGCGATGGTATTGTGCGCGCTGACTGTAAAAGAGTAGTATCCATTGGCGTTCATCTCGAACTCATTTGAAATCAGTAAAAAAACGCCAAGAATCTTCCCGGTAGTTTGACTGAGTGGTCTGTACGCTGGTACAAATAGTAAACAGCTCAAAAGGTGTGGTAACATATCATCTTGCCAATAGATGCAAAACAAGCAACCCTTTTGCCCTCTTATCCGCATGTTTGGTTTTTCATACAGATTTATCTGTCTAATTCTTTCTCCTCAGATAGTGGCCTACATTCATAAAAGACCGTTTTGTCTTGGCCCCATGAACTCCAGCCTTGGACTGATAGATAAAGTAACGAACTAAAAAAAAGGAGCCTGATATTCGGGGACTCGATCCCTAAATCTCCTTAGCCAGAAATCAACGGAGAAAACAAATTGAAATGAAAGTGGATTATTCAAGGTCATGTGCCCTTCATTTTACGGGTTGTCTTTGAAAACCACCGAAGTCTTTGGTTAGGCAATTTGGACGCCATTACCGGTTTGCTGTCCAACCGTACAACTACCAGAAAGATTGAAGACATTGTTAAAACAAAAGATGTCCCAAAAAACCAACTGCATGGCGAGAAAATGAGCTTGGAATCCAAAGATCTAAGGAAAAATAATGTTGTGTTTGTAGGTAACCAGTCTCAAATATGTAGGGAACAAGAGAAGAGACGACATAAAAAAATGACGAAACCAAATAAGTACGCCTCTGCCTTGCCAAAAAACGAACTCCGATGACCGCTAGAGCACAAAGCAAGAAAGTGGAAGGATGGAAGCTTTTAAGACCCTTAGTTGCCTGTCAAATCACTGGATCTGTTCAATTCATTCTAGTAATTGCCAGTGTGTCTGCGTGTCATGGATTGCCGTGTAAGCGGTAGTAAACTGAAAGCAAGCCATCATCAAGGTATCAAGACGTTTGCCAAAGTTCGTATTGTCTCAGGGAATTATGTATGTTCTGTATTCATTGTAGGCTCCTCGTTAAGCATGAGCTTCTGTTGCAACAAATATCCGCTTTTTCGTCGCCCGGAAAACATGTTCGGGTAGAAAATCCGGATGATTTCTCAGCTGTTCTTGAACTGAGAACCCTCAAAGTTGTAGCTGACAGGTGCGTTTTATTTTGTTTAGGAATGCCTATAAACCCAGATGGATGTACATTTATATCTCGGGGTATATTAACTAGCGGGGATAATATCAGGTCGATGGAATATTCACTGATTGCGCAAGACGTGTGTGAAATTTCCCACCAGCTGCCTCTTCCAAGGAAAAGCCGTCTATAAAATTTATCTGAGAGATTTTCCTTGGGTGTACGCTTGTTCATAGAGCTGCGCCGCTCCCAGATTTTGACTTTCCGTGTGAAACGTATCCATCTGGTGGAGTGATAGTGTGGCAAACATCGATATGATTCAAAAGTATAAATTTAGTATTGCAAATAATTCAGCTGAGATGAGACTACAACATCCGACGTTAAATTTGGGACTGCAGAATTCCTGGAGTGATGGGTTTTTTGCCTAAAGTGGCAGATGGACCTATTGCAAACATCATTCTAGTTGTCGCCAAAATCGAAAAAGTCTCTTTTGGGCGCAGTGGTCGAAACTAGTCCTAAAATACAAACGAAGGGCACTTTGTGGATCCTCCGTGGACGCCTACTTCACTAAACATCATTATTTTTACAGAAATTAGAGCAGCAAAATGCGTTGTTCTTCTGCTTTAGAAGTGAAAAAGAAATGGGAGAATAAATATGATACAACCTTGCAACGTTCCTCACCTCAACTTCGGATTCGAGCGAATTCTTCAGTTCGTTGTACTCTTCGGAATGTTTGTTTCGAAGTTTACTGAGTTCACTATCGAATACTTCTACGAGATGAAAGTGGGTTTCCAAATAATTTATCTGAAGCGATAAATGAAATTAGTGTAGACAACTAAACGGGGGAAGGTATGCTAACTGTTTATTTTTTGTGTACATGTGCCCGAGAGATGTGCACTTATTTAGCAGAAAATTTACACTGTCCATAGAAGCTGATCAAGATTAACATGGGGATGAAACACACTGACTCACCGGCGAGCTACTTAAGTATCTGCCAAATAAATCAAGCCAAATTGTGCAACCTATTCAGTTTAAACAATTGAAGCCAAGATGAACATCTTAAGTAAGTTTTTTGTTTTAAAGCGGGCTTATTTTGAACTTTATTTTATTTTGTTTGGGTTAAGTGATACAAGCTCTGAAAAGGACCTACGCTCCATAGAACTATAATCGTCAGTTATCAAGATATAACTTTCAAAAGCCCAACACATTCTCCCTTGAATCTGTCTGATGTGTTTTCACCTTAATATAGACATAAAGGACTGGAATCAGTTCACTGACATCAATCAGCATTTTTCTCAGACATATTGACAGTAACAGGGCTGTAATTTTCACATGCTTTTACGTGCTTTGTCATATGGAAATCAACAGCATTACCAGATTCCTAATTAGTAAACCATCCTTTGCTTTTAGGACATGAAACCACGACAGCCGCCTACAATTCCATGAAGCACATTCATTTGCTTATGATTTCCGTTGAAACAAAATTAGTCTGTAAATGATTGCCTATTGGGTCTGGTTAGGTTTCAAGTAGAAAATAAAGTTGATGGAAACTCGAGAACCGCGATTGGCTGGTGAATCCCAAGACAACTGAGACCGATTGCAAGCTACTAATGAGTATACAGCAATCTTCGCCTAGCAAATCAGGACGTTACCTCAAAATCAAGATTTTACCGGCTGCTAATCGACCAAGAATACACAATATGTAGAGACGTGAGTAGTACGTGCGTACTCGTCGTCGAATGGAGAGTCTATATTGAGCACCGCACCTGCCCTCTTGTATCCCGTTGTGCCCTATCGCTCATCACAATACCCCCATTTTACAGTAATATACCTGATTTGTTCTTAAATAGTATATTTGCCTTTCGTTTTGTTTTAAAATCTCCATCTTCTGACCAACCAAAGATTTCTGGGAACGATATTTTACAAAAACCCAGAAAAAACAACAGAATCAGTCCGGTTGCGATCATTAGTGGTAAATTTGTAGAAAATATAAAGATAATAAAAATCGTAAAAGAAGGGCTGTGCTATAAATTCTCAGCATGTTATAAGATGAACTAACCTGCTTCTGCTTAATTTCAGACATCAGTTCTTCCCATTCGGCGTTCTGGTCAGCAACCAACTTGTCCTTCTGTGCGTTCAGGGATTCCTTCAGAAGACATTTGGAAAAATAAGGTTTGAACAAGCAGCAGTGTTTTCGGAAAAGGAAACTACTTACAAGGCTGCTGAAAATTCCTAGACAACCTTGTGAGTAGTTTATTTTATGAAAATGTACAGCGATCTTTCCAATATCGTATCAACTGAATCAAGGAGCGGTCTTTTCGCAGCACATTCAGTTGAAGAGTAGCATAAACGAGAAATTCAGTTGAGTCTCCGATGAAAACCGATTTGATTTGCAAATGAGTGTATTTTTCGAAAGGAGCATTGTGTTTGTAAAGTAGCAGGGGCAATGTAAAACATAAACTAACTTCGATTGCGATCAACTCTTCCCTGTAAGTCTTTTGCATCGATTGTATCTGCGTCTCCATTCGTTCAGTCAATAGTTCCACGTCTTCTGTTCGTTTCCGGAGCTCCCGAACGTAGTGATCGTCCTTAGCTTTCAGTTCCTAGACAAAAAAATAGATTGGCTGTCAGAGTGATTCGTTTGATGATACTGTTAACCTGTTCAACAACAGTACTGTGACCAAGCATAATACGATTAAGATAGGGTTACAGCTGCTCCGTTGATATCCATTTTGGTAACTCTTAGGATGAGAAATGAGATTATGAAAATGGATTGAGAATGACTTTGCTGTCAATAAAGAGATATATGAAAAGATATATTTTAGATAGGTCCATTGTAGAACAGCACTTAGAGATGGAGTGCAGGATCTGTAGCAAAAATCCGTACGTGAAATTTCCTTTACTCTTGTCTATGCTATGGTAACCTAGCCTTCTCAGGTCCATTTTTCCCATCCAGGTTTGTAGCAGCTTTGCTGTGTAAAGGTATTACATTGGTACGATTACATCGTTTTGAAAAGGGTAGCACGGCCTGTGTACAGTTGAGCTGCGTGAAAACTATTTTAACTCGGACCGTCACCTTAGGCCAGTCTAAAAAGCAGCCGCACCTGATGGTCACAGGAAGTGGAAGGAGGATATACGAAAAAACACATGTTTATCCTTCATTCGTAACTTCATCACGATGCACGTTCATATCACAAAAAAATTGCAAATTTTTAAATAGTTTGTGATGCAAGTATCAGGGAAACACATTGCTTGTCTAGCAAAAGTTCAGAACAAACCTGATACCATCACCTCCAAGTTAACGCACCATCGAATGATAGTAGAATTCAATAGTTTGGTTTCTGTTTACTTTACCTTGGAAAGTAAAAAACCTAACAAAAGGCTCTAGAACTTAGTTGCTTCTGCCATATCAACTGTTGGGCTTTCATTATTGCGGTGCACAAAACTCTGTTGAGGTAATTTCTACCACTTCTTCGTTATCATTCATACGCCTAGACACGTCAGCTAACGGTGACATTAAGCTAAATGCCAACTAATTTTTTTCCCAGGTGCCCAATTCAGAGGACCACATGCTAAATTACGGAAAGAGAAGAAACGTTAATATAACTATTTCAATGGTCCAATAGGCTAGTGACCTTGATAATTCACCTCAAGCTACACACACTAATGAAAGTACCAATGCATATTTTTGTGTACTGTACACTACTCGGCTATGCGTTGCCCGGCATCTTGTAGCATGGTCTCTTAAGGTGAGCAGCGTCCGGTATTAGCAGGAATACCGGCACAGATGGAATATTTCTAGTATTTATCTTAAGAGCAATTATGATGAATATGTTTAAGTGCTGTGGAATTCACAGTGCCCTTTGGACCGTATGATATCGATACTCCTGTTAACGCGTATTGGTTATGATTGCCGCAGTTCCTTAGTCCCCGTAAACGGTGGACAACAAATCAGGACATTTCACTTATATGAATTTGATCCAGCGCAATCTAGTACCTCCATAGGTGAGTATGCATGAGAAAAATAAACCTTGTAATCGCAATCTTACCAGGTTGAGCTCGTTAATAAGTTTGTTCTTCTCATTGATGAGTTCAGTGCACTGTCTCTTTTGTTCTACAAGCATCTTCAACAACGTAGAGATTAACTCGCTTTTCACTTTACCTCGCGGATTTCTTGTGGAAGCTCGCCGGTTTTAACAGCATCCCATTTTTCTGTGATCTAAAGAATATCAGAGTGCAGCAAAACTTGGCTTGGATGTGATAAGGGGGGGGGGGCAGAAATTGCTTAATGCATTCTTTGTAATTTCGTCGTGTTATATCAGATTCTACGGGCCATTTAATTATTTGTTAGAGTACCTCATTTGATTTCACGATGTAATTTGATAGTTCATCTTGGATCTAACTCCGCAAGTTTTGGTAACAGCTGAATTTCTGGAATGATGAAGTGCGATTACGATGGAGTGACAACACTAACCAGCACTTTACCGGAGAAGTAGTGGAGTCGAAAGACACCCGGTTGGAAGAAAGCCGGGTTGGTATTAATGACGAAATTTGACAGTATCCATCTGAATGACGGAGCTTTAGGTAGAAATTTCATGAGTCACCTCAGCTCCTCCATGTTTATATTTGCACCACTGAAAAAGTAGCGCCCCACTGTGAGTTAAAATTTGAATAGCTCCTCCATGTTTATATTTGCACCACTGAAAAAGTAGCGCCCCACTGTGAGTTAAAATTTGAATAAAATTTGAACTTTACTTTGTTTTTTGAGTTCATTTTGGAGTCCTCATTTCTTGCCGTTTTTTATTTAGAAGGCAGAAAATCAAAACTGTTCCAGTTACATTACTTTACCTATCAGTTAAGCAAACATGTTTTGATGGGACAAGTAAATCCTAATCCCTATTCCAGATAAATTCAACTGATTTGACTTGCTATGTAAACGTGGCTCACTGAGAGGTAGCTAAGTTTTTTGAGTTATCCTAATCACGAGAACAAATAGGTGCTAACTGAAAAAACACTAAGATCAAAACTAGGACAACTATGTTTTCTGCATCATAAAGCTGAGTAATACGTAACGTCTACCAGGTTTCACAAATAAACAACGCTCAACGCTGCCAAAATAAAAATTGTGGATTTTGTGGCTGGCCTACTACACACATTTTATCTGAGCTGCTTGACTGCTCAACTCGGTTATTCTAAAAACTGTGTTGTACTGTACGTGGTGCGGTACCATGCTGCTTTGAAAGTTTTCAGATTAATCTTGATGATCGTCACCACATTCAGCTCAGTAGATCCAACACTTTGCAGGCTAACGGAAACGAAACAAGCAGATTACCCTCTAGATTACTGAAACGCTCACTACAGGCCGGATTTAAGTAGTGGTTGCACTTGTTTTACATAGCATGCTTCGAAACCATTCACGGTTCGGTTTGTCAGTGTTCGTGTTGAAACTTGCGGCTTCTCGCCTAGACGAGATGCATTGAACAACAAACTAGTTAATTTTTAAAGATACGTGACAGAAAGCTTGGTATTCCTCACTCCTATTTCATTTAGCTTCCCTATAGTCGTCGTCGACATCCTCACTAGCAACCTCAATAACGTTATCCTATCCGGTTACGGGAGAAAAGCATATTTGGTTTGTCTGACTTGCTAAAGAAGTTAAATTCATTCTGACGTTGAAAGTACGGCTTTTCTAAAGCACTTCTTTGTATCAAACATCATGATTTTTCAAGGGAAATCTGCAGTAGGAATTTTGGAAAAATGCTCGTTACAAAATCATTTACGTCGATGTAAGCAGAATTTAGTTTCTAGTAAACCTCAAGCTAGAGGAGCTGTAAATCAAATTTGAACCTCAAGTTTATTTAAAGTTTAACTTGTACACATTTCCAGCATTATGACACTATTTTTTATTTAACACCATATTTATTCCAGAACAAAGAGACAGGAAGCTCAAAAACTTTATCTCGCAAAAGTAAAAACTACACGCTTCCATAGTTACTAGCTGAGAGTCCCTGACTGCATCCGGTGCTCTGTAGAAAAAACAATAGGGTTTAAGGGAAGAACAACTCCAAAATTTCATACCACCTAGAATACTCAGTGCTAACCCGTGAGACTCAACGAATGCCTGTAATTATGTGTTTTCTGATTTTACTTGTGGCTTTGATCGTCAAAAGCATGATCACAATTCTGATTGGTAAAAGAGAGCGCATTGTCAACATCGGTAACTTCTTCCCCGCACATGGGTTGTTGTTGTGATAAGACTTCTCTCTTGTCATTGGCTCAATGAGCACAACGGCTTGTTGGTACGGTAGAGATTTTAACTAATTAACTGTAGCAGCCCCCGATTTGTCGATCAGAATTCGATTCTCTGCCTATGTCATTCCTCTGGAGAGCCTGTAGATCACCAAAAAACCTTTGTACACTAGACTTTCAAAATTCAACTCCGATATCTTGTTTGCGTAATGTATGCATTCACGCGAGCATTCACTGATTTCATGCTGTAGATGGTGACGATGATGCAAGGAAAGACTCATCATCTCTAAATCTCGTCTTCGCATGGCAATCCTGGATAAAACTATAAAACGTATTCTATATAATCTACATTTAATTGCAAAAATTTCCATCCCTTAGTGCTGTTGGGCTTTAGGATATCCCCTGCATTTTTGCTACCATCCGGATGCCAAAACATGGCACTTGATTTGGCTTTGTTATGCGTTTTTTATCTCTAAAAATTGAGCAAGGCATCACAAATTTCATTGCCGATAGAAAGAATGTGAAATTGAGTACGCTGAATGACTTAAAAAGCCATGCACTGACCATTTTTGATGCATTTTTGTGCCATGAGCTCTCGCAAGCATATAATATCATCGCGTTTTTATGTTCTTCTGCATAGGCATCTCCATATTCCGTGCAGTTGGTATCGCTGTAATATTATAGTCGCTGCCGTTAGAAACAGCAGCATAATTGTTGACATTAGCACTGTACTGCCCTGAAACTACCAAGGTCGCTCAGTTTTGTTCAAGACCGTATAATAAACGAAGAAGAGTGGACAAGCGAGGGACCTAATGCTTGCCCGTCACAAGCATTCTGGGGCGTCTACCTCGCCAAGCGCTCAGTCAGATAACCTGAAGATCAGCAAACAACATGAGATTTACTGACGTTACATAGCCGCAAAGTTTTGCAAAGTCTTTATCCATACAGAGAGAAGATTCAGAGAAACGCAGTCTATGAAGGCGGACTGCATCAGCAGCAGCTGAATTACTCTTATTTTCTTTTGTATCCCCATATTAAGTCATGAGTAGCCCATGTGACTGCTCGTGTTATTGTGAATTTGGTACAGAGATTAAGACTCGTCCAGGTGGCCGATGATTCTGCATGCATAGCACATTGCCGAGCCACCACATTTGATGTTGCTGGGTGTTGTTCTCGATTGAAGTACCCGTGACACAAGTAAATACTCGTTTACTGATTACCTCTTTACGAATTAGTTGGCGTTACAATTCTGAGACGTTTGTACGGAAAAACCGGAAGAAGCCCCACATTGTTTGTCTGCCGAGGAAGTGATTCGCAACCGTTTAACATTATAGACCATACTGTACTCTAGTAAACGCGCATTATGGAGCGTTACAAGAAGCTGTAACTTGGAAACGTGAATCGGAATTGCGCACTAATTCTATCAACACTTTCATCGGAACCAAAACAACCACAGGGATATGAAAAGTTCTCCACAATCTCCAATGTTTGTTCTGGAATTTTTAGGGGGCGTTTTCAGAGATTGCACACTGCAAGTGCAAGGCGACTATCGAGAGGTGGTATGAGGTGGTTGGCTAATCCATGGTGTCTCTGTCTTGTATTCGCCAACAAGTATTGTGATGTTATATGCTTCATTCAAATCGATGAGGACTACATTGGAACCAACGTGAATACCGGAGTTTTGAAGAAATCCAGCGTTTGCTTGGTGATGTTGAACAAGGATGGAACTATTGGACATCCTTGACAAGGATCTTCTTTGTCGGATACCTTTAGAGGGCTTAGTGTAAACTCTACACGTCCAAAATCGCGTGAACATAAGGAACACACTACTGAGCAGGCTTAGATTGGAAAAGAGCCGGCGGAAGGTGGTTGGGGCCAGAAACATGGTGGCGCTCTTGTCAACAAGCACACCATGGCATTCGTGTGGCTAACTGGGTTGTATGTTAGCAGACATTGCTTCTGTTTATATACCAATTTTCTGGCTTGAAGATAGCTGGTCGCTACCTAAGTAGCAACACAAATGTTCATCTTTGCTTGGTATTATATAGCTATTTAGGTCCTTGTTATTTTCACCGGCAAAATCCACCACGGACCAGTCAAGCAAATCAGATGAAGAAGTCCGTGGAAGATTCTAGCATTTTGATTGCATCGTTTCCATGGCCATTTGGATCCATTAGGCTTCGCTGTTTGCTGATGTGCTTAGCGTCACCTGGCTGCTTATGGTGAAGTTGTGATTGCGGTCACGAGAAATTTGTTGCTGGGCTTGTTAGTGAACGTCACGCTGCCAAGCGACCTCTGATAATTTGAAAAAAATCACTGCAAAGGAAAAATAATGATCAGTGATCGTCTGCAATAAGCGCTCTTTGTCGTTTTTGCCTGTCTTGTCCAACAGGGCCCCATACAAACTGCCGTTGTCAGGTTTAAAGATGTGGTCATTCATAGTGTAAGCCTATACAATGAAGAGAGCGTAGGATCTCAGGTTTTGAGATTTTTTTCAGACGATGCCCGGCGAACTGTACAGAGAAAAATTAGCCTGTAGATCTGCCTTTCTCCGATGGCTCAACGCATTACGAAAATCTTCACATCCTGATGCAGCGAAATACGACAGTCCAATCCACTAGTGTACATGGGATGAAGGGAGTGTGGCAGTTTCCAGTTAGGTTAACATACTTGCGTCCCTGATCGTTGTTCTTAACAGATCACATACGCCACTTCGTTAAGCTTCAGTGCACGAGGTGTGCGAACATTGAAGGCAGCTGAGTAGACTGACGTTTCGGGGTTGAAAATGGATCTCAAGACGCTTGAAATTGCTAATGAATACATGCCCAGAAGCTGCTGACACGTGATAGACACCGTAGTGAAATCTGGTGCTGAGATTTGAGGATATCGTATTTAAAGCGGGTTGGGGTAGTGCGGAATAGAGAATGAATAATTGTAGACAGAAAGTCATAGTTACAACATTAGGCTTACCCACCATGCTGTGTGCAACAAATAAGGCGACCTAGCTGATGTGATCATTTAACAATCGATGTGGCATGGCAATATTTTTATTCTGCCGCTCGCGTATGTACGCGGGCTGTTGTCAGTGTGCCAGTTCCAACATCAAAACCAGAGGACCGAGAGGCTGTTTCAGTCACACCTGGGTTCACTCTCCATCTTGGTTTCATTAAAAAACTTCCTAGTAAAGCTCAGCTTGTCGCAGATTTTGGCAAACCGCCACACCACAATAAGCTGTTTATTAGGAGGGAGCCACTTGAATATTCTCCCTTCCGTTATGGTAGCTCTCTGTGCCACACAAACAACCCACTCTCACCAGCTGAAATTCCACCACGTTAACGAGTTGTTTAAGTTCAGGGTATGAATCCATCAAACATCTGGCATCGCAATGCAGTTATAGCTCTCTTTCGGTGTGGTCAGGATCTCCTTATGTGATTACACTGCTTGCGAATAACAGGCAGCCCCAATGGAGTCAGTATGGCAACGAATCTACACAGACTATGAAGAGTCTGGGTCAATAATTGATCATCTAGATTACGAAAAGGTACAAGCGACCGAAAGTTTTCACAATAGCAAGCAGTGTCCTGTTCATATAATGGACAGTAAATAACACACTGCCCAGAAGGCTTGTTCTTAGCCCGTCACTTCATTCATTACTTTGACGACCTGGTAAATTTTCCCATGTTTTCTCATGACTTTAGGGAACGGAAATTTTATCAACTGAGCGTTCAAGGTTTTCAAAGGAGTGCTGACCCGTGTCGTACGAAAATAACTATTTCCCCAACCCGATGACTGCAGTCATCGGGTTGGAAAAATATTTATTTGAAAACACATGTTTTCAAATCTGTAACCTAATCATCGGCTTCCGGAATTACCTTGTTGAATGCGTCTAATCCAGTAGTTGCGTCAGACTCCAGTTTCTCAATTCTCCTCGCATTCAGTTCATCTTCCTCCGTTCTCCGCATATTTTCCCTGGCGTCGCAGGCCACCCGAATGTTTGAAACGAAAGTGTCACCATCGCGAATGAGTTTTGCAATCCTTTGTGCGCTGGCCTCAATTTGTTTTTTGCTCAAGCTCAGGTCTTCATTCTTCGATTCTGAATCCTGTTCCTCCGGTTGAGGCCTAGGATAATATGTCACGATGACGTTTAACAGACCTTTGCTGCAAAAGCCTGTTTTTTATCCTGAGGGTTCTTGCGGCAATTCTTTGCTCGATGTCATCCGAATTGACGGACGGTCCCACATCGGCGATTTCTTCTTGTTTGAAATAAATCTTCCTGTAGCAGCTGTTCATATTGTAGTATGCACGCTATGGAAGCACCAGGAGACAGTGATTCTCCGAAGGCAGGTGTTCAGGACAATTTCTGTTGATGGAAAACGAGAACAAAGCTGATGAGCCAAAGCCCATCAAGAAAGGTTGTAAATCACCAATACTTACATATAAATCAAGCAAACTGACACTATACTACAGTATTAGGATATTTGAAAACTTCAAGGTCATTGCCATAACACCACTCTGTACTTAAGTTCCGTATACAGACGAGTGAGAGCAGCACTGGACGTCGGAGACCATTTACTATAATGGTTTAAAAAGAAGACTTATTGTTTCAATCCCAGCTCTCCACCAGGTAATCATCTAAGTTGCGCTTAGAGGGTGGTGTTTTTCCTAATTTGTCTTACGAGCATGTGGTGAATTTTCGTTATCAACAACCAACAATTTTCGAAGAACTCAGAATACGGAAATTAGCATCATTACAAATGAGCGAGTCAGTATTTCATGCAGCGCAGAGGATGAATTCTGAATCCTGGGTACGTTTATGGAACCAGCCTCAGAGCCTCTAAGCTCTCCACTCAATCATTGCGCATCTGTGCGTCGGCCAGACGTGTGTCTACCTTCCGATTCTTAAGCGCCCGCCGAAAATTTCTCTGGAAACATAGTTCCAGAGAAGGAAAGTTTCCACAAAAGTTTGTACTTTGCCGTTGTTTACTCGGAACCCTAAAATATCCCCGTACGTAGCAGTTTTGCTAAAAATTCGTCCGGGCAAACCATAGTTATAGATTCGGTGCTCAATCCCTGTTTCAAATGGCTGTCATGGATAAGCATGGTCTCAGCGTAAAGACACTGGAAAATCCTTCAAGGAATTAGGCTTTTCCAAGTGTTTTCCTCATTATTGAATTTGTAATTTTTTTCGAACTGCATGGAAAATAATCTAATCGTCTGTACAAATGTCCCCACAAACTCCAGCTGAAGCAGCCATTCACGACTGACGTAGGAAAACGTTTCCTGCAGCTTCGATAAGCGTCACGTCAGACAAAGCTATGGAAGTCACGAAGCCAGTCCGTTCCGTGAACTTTTTCATGATAGTGTCTGGAGCGAGATCCCATCTTCGCCGGCATAATGGCTCTTTGATGGTGAAATCGGAGGGATAAGTGGGCATAAGTACAGATCGAGTAGACAGTACAATAGGACAGCCAGCACTTTGAAATTTTGGCATAAGTTCAGCGACCTGAGACGACAATGTGGATGCACGTTACACGATGGATAAGGAAATATTATGGATACTTTGAACTACGGGCATGTTGACAGACTGGGTGTTGCAATTTTTGTATCGTCACTGGGGCGTTGTGCTTGAGTTTGTGGCTCAGTTTTCTGCGGCTAGCGGCTTCCACGGTTTGATTTTCTCTTGGTTGACAGATAACTATTGAATAAAACACTCACAGATCTGGCTTACCCGCACGTGAGCCCAGAATCAGGAGGCAGTTTACTGCTACCTGGGTAACCATTTGGCCTTCTGTTGGAGATTGCTAAGCATTTAACTAGGGAGCTCCAGTACAGCAGATATGCATACGAGCCACTAGATACCAAACATGAATCATCAACAATGCTGTCTGGGTTCAGATATATGTAGCGATCAAAAGATAAGCACATGAGTGAGCTTCAGTACTAGTGGTGTTGGAGAGAATCGGTTTCAGGGAAGGAAACGAGACGCACGTCGGAAGGTTAGCATGAGTAAATGTGGCTGGAAGATGGGGTACATTTTTTCGCTACTCACTGTAATACTTGACGTAATAATCGATTAAGGAAACGAGAAAATTAGCACGAGATATTTGGCGGAGAACTGAGGGGGAGAGTGGTCTCTTCCGGGGTGGTAAAATAAATATAAAAGGACTCCGTCAGTCAAACGTTGAAGCAATAGAGCTAGCATTGTCAGTACCGGAGTAGAACTACCGCCGAGAGGAAATTTCTCGAGGTTCTGAAGGATGAGGCTGAAGAGTATGTATGTCAGTAGAACTACGGACGTAAACTTTGAAAGTGAACCTGCTTTTAGAGGAATTTTCTTTGAAAATACGCTGTCCGCCGAGAAGATGCGCGAGTAACCGCCGGGAATAAATAGCGAACACGCCATGTGTGAAGGAATTATTTGCTGTTTCTATAGATTTCCTGCTGCTTCCCAGCATATTCATTTTACACACGAGGAAAAGAGAGCTTAATCCATAGCGTACCGGCGGAGTGGACAAAACGGGATCGCAGGGTGAAAACTGCTTTAAATCGCGTGGGGTTGTAAGCTGGATGAAAGCGGCCCTTTTGGTTGGCCCATTCGATTACTGAGGACATCAGTCAATGCCATCCAAACCATAAGGTTTCCGTGACAGATATTGCCAACAACGCTAGACTGCCCTGTGGTAGTCTAACCCGTATGTAGCCTTGTGGGGTTTGAGCCAACACTGGCTAGTTAGGACTAGTGACGGTTTGAATAGATTTTAGAGCCTCAATACAGTCGTTAGTGAATGTGTGGTAATCCAAGGTGCGAGAAAAAACATATAATAGCATGCTAGTAAGAATAACTCATTGTGCGGATCAAGTGTCTTATTATTGATGGGGAATAAGGAGCGATTGCCTCATAGGATTTTGCCATAATGCACATATCTCACATGGCTGGGGCTGCCTTGAAAAATCAAGCATATTGATGGGTTTCCACTGACCCATCACCCCAGGTAAAGCAAGGCGCAGTTACTTGGTCCGAAAGGATGAGTGCGAATCCCTCGGTTATGATGCACCTTCAAGTAAATTTAAGTCTACATCTGAAAATCGCTAGCTCCAGCGGAGCCTGTGGGATTGTGGAGCTCTTTGCTTCGCTCGACGGTGGATACTGTGTGAATAAAGGTTTCAGGAGGTGTTGCTTGGGGTTGGATGACTGGGTAGCCGAAATCGTCAGGGGTAACATAACTGGAGAATAGTGAAAAATACGTCAGTTAGGTACATAGTGCATGAGGAAGGAGGCTATGTAAAATTAGCTAAAACCTCGCGCTTTCACTGACAGTAAAAGCGTACGATGAAAGATTCGCCAGAATTAAGCTCAACTGATCAGGTCACCAGGACGTGCCCCACGCGTTCGAGTGAGGATGTTTAAGTTCGTCGACTGGATGAGAAATTTCTGTCGACCTGTTCTTGTTGAAGGTGGAAGTCTGATTGAAGTCTGATTGTTTGAATATCACAAGTAGGTCGGTTGTGAATGGCCAAGGAGAAAATAAGGATTAGCATGTTGTCGAAAAGGTAGCAGATAAATGCAGATAAATAGAGACAAAGCTGTTTGGCGGTTACGATCAAATAAGCTTTCATTGTACGTTCATATGCGCGATATGAACAGAAATCTCATAAGGATGAAAAAATGAGCGGGTTCTTCAAGAAGCCTGAAGAGACAGACGCCCCCATTACAATATTTAAAGTTGTATAAATGCTTGAATTTAGGTGCTCCCCTGTAGCACTTCCCTCACCTGTGTCAGAAAACTTAGCTTCACAAACTGCCAAGCAAGAAACCTTCAAACCATCACAACAGACGCTCTAGTATCTTAGAGAAAGTGTTACCCCACCCATGATTACTCTGCCTTATTGGCATCATCTTATTTCAAACCCATTATCCTGCTTAAGGTGTTAGGGACTTTTAGAATAAACATATTACATCAAGATGATGCCACATCAAAGTGCCAAAATTCCTCGGAGGTATGTAAAAAAATTTTCAGGGAGTGTAGTGAGTTCATTTAAATGGGGTTGTGAAAACTACAGCTTTGAACAGAGTTCTCGCAGCCTGCCGATTATACCAGGAAAAGCGTTCCAAGTGCAAATGACAAAGTACTTCACATTTTCCGTCATCAAGTTCATCAAAAGTTTCACTGATTTAAAGAGAAAACGATTGACGGGCTAAAGTAAACGATAAATTTGAAAGCTTTAAAAATTCTCACTGGGATGGCACCCTAAACAGTAAGTGAAAGAATGAAATCGTACTGATTATCGTATATGGAAAATCAGTTGGAAACTGCAATCGGTTTTCCCATAGCAACAACATTTAACATGTTTAATCCAGGCACTATCGTACCACATTTTGAAAACAATTTAAAACCTATTAGCTATTCAACTAAAGATTTATTCGACCAAGTGAATATGTAAGAAGCCTGATGCTGTAATCATTATGGGATCACCGAACGTGGCCTACATGAATTACAAACCGAACCAAAACCTCTATATTATTACCAGATACAAGTATCGTGTATATATATATATATGCTATGCACCAATGATACAATGTACTCCAGCTAGAATTATCTGTCAATCATCGAACCAGCCCCCCAGCGAGTGAACTTTTTCTCTACATCATAGAACAATAACCAAGTCTATCTAAATTGATCAGGAACAAATGGTGATCCCAAGGGTTCAAGTATATCATGTGTTTTAGAAACTCACTATTGCGTGAACGAAAGTTGGCAAGGGAAACAAAGATATGTTCCAATAACTGGTTTGTAAACTGGAGCAAAGCGGTTAGCAAACTGCATCTTCTTGGTCACCAAGTTGGATCGTCAGTGTACCACCCGTTGTCACCCATACAACTGGAGGAGTACGTTTGACCTTCATTTGAGAACGTTTGAACCCACCATGTTACTCAGGGACGGTCGATCAGACTTTATTGTGATAAACCCTGGATACCGTTGTTGTAATCGTAAACATTTGAGAAGATCATACCTCAGCTAAAATGAGGCAAAACCTTGGGCTTAACCTTTAGACAGGCATGCGATGCGTTTAGCTTAAGCAATTTAAGTGGCTTGGACTTGAATGAAGGAACCGTTGAAACCGGTGGGTGTGTGGGAAATCTGCTACACGTGAAGGATGGAATAATAATGGCTCCCGTTTTTTTGAAATGCATGAAATTGTGGTCAGTTGTTACTGACAACGCGTCCTCTTATCAGTAACTTTGTAAATGTGAATCGTCTGACATGTAAAAAAGCCAAGTGCAATTTAAATTTGGATAGTTTCTGATTTCTCAGTTGAACTGTTTGTGCGTCCTCTGAGGCATTAGTTTTATGCGGATTAATGGTGCCATCTGCCAGTGGAAACCTTAAAAAATATTTACAAACTCAGCTGCTTCTATATGAATTTTTTTTCATTCATTTGACATGAACTGTGAATGCCTAATTTTACTCCCTTAAAATCCGTATCACACGCTGATTCAGCTACCTCGTTAAATAGAAGGTGCGTAATGATTCTTGAAAATGCCGGAACCTGCGAATTCCCGGTAAGGCTGATACTGAGTGGCATCTGCATTTTCTGGCACCATATGATGGCTTACTTACAGGTAGAGAAGTTCGGCTGTGATGTATCTAGCAAGGGAAACCTTTGTGCCACATTCGCGCCCATTGATGCGTTCAAACGATTTAATTCAGTCGATCTGGTACAAGCTTGTTTGATTTTTTATCGCTTTTAAAATAAAAAATCAGGCAAAATTTTTCTAGATGGAAGATTTTTGTTCACGTCAAAGTGGATGCCCATCAAGCACGAGTCTTCATAACATCTGAGTTAGTTTTTGGTCCTATGTTAAATAAAAGAAGATGAAGTCCACCAGAAGTTCTATGTCCAGCTGATTTTTGCATAATGTATTAATAAACACACGGGTTGACTGCCGATATGTTTTGCTTTATAAATACCATTACTAAGACTAAAGCAATAAACGCTAAAAGTTTGGGAATACACTGTAAGTTTTAGCAAGTAGCTATTACTGAGCCTGCAATGTTTAAGATGATTAGAAGCTTATTTAAACAAACTGAGTAGAGCAAATGATTTCGATGAGTCATAAGGCGCCACTCCTGATAGAAAGAAAATTTTGGCAGCGTGCAACATCAGTTCCTTTATGATTTTTGTGATGAACATGGTTGATACCTATTCATTGCTCCATTTCATTATTCTCTTGTTTTAATATTCCATATGCTGCACATATACGCCATTTCGAATACATACGTGCAACTCGTTACGATGCGCTGAATTCTGGATTTCTAGTTCGTCTACTTATACTGATATACGTGCGGAACTTAATTCTCACAATTTCTGCCCGACAAAATGTTTGAATCAAGAGTTGATCATTTTCGGTTCCTCAAATGCGCGAATGAAATTTCAAGGGAAGGGAGAATAAAGGAAACCGTTGTAGCTATTGTCTTAGACACTGCATTCGACTGCAATATTAGGTGATTGGGCAATTTGTTGACGTGTTACCTTTCATTGACAATGACCATACCTAACAAGCTAACTGCCACATCTGGACGATAACTCAAAGGAAGTTAAGTGAACAGCACTACTGGTTAGGCGGAGTTACAGTTGAAAAATCCAAAGATGTTTAAGTTAAACACTTTTCCATTAGCTCTATGAGGATGTGATGAAAGTATACAAGTTAACGACATTCCGCTATAAGGACTTGTTCACTAAATAGCTTGCATATTTTTCATTCAAGTTCGGGCAGGATTATCAGCTACAATCAAAAACCTCAATTACTTTCGTGTAGAAAAAAGTAATATTGCGTGTATCTTGCAGCTAGTTGGTATGTTAGCAGACGAGAAACAGGGCTCTTTTTGCGTTTTGACAGCAGTTTTATTCACACAGGATCTGCGACCGTCGAAAAATCTAGATCTCACTACTCAGGTAAGACTTTCAAGCTAATTGTACACCGGTTAACTCGAATTTATGTGATCATACTTAGCAAAAGATTTACATGTTTTGTTTTTTCCCCATTAATTTTGAGCAAATAATGATACGCAACCTCTAAGTAAATGGGAATCAAGACCATTAAAGCGGCAATAAAAAACGGCTCTTATTTTATTCAGGCATTATTTTCAGGTATCAGTTCGTGCAAAAAAGTGTGAATATCATTACTTTTATACTTTGTCAATACTCATTTAGTAAATTTCTTTATGAGACCGGCTGACTGAACTGATACAAACTTGCAACCAATGTTCTTCCCCCAGATTAGTCTGTAAATCCGCTGAAGCACTGTCTTTGATTTATCTCAACTCGACAAAATTCAAGCTACGTAATCGTTTGGTTTATGCCTTCAGCTCAGACCTTATACGGAGGAAGTATTTGTTGTAAGTATTGTCAACCATTGACTCAATCCAGTGTGAATTCCTGTCCAACTCCATATCCTTCGATTTTTTCATCTTTCTTGAACGTTCAGGCAAAAAGGATCATACAAAGCCATCACACAAACGTGCTTATTTTTTCGATGCGACTTTATTTTTATCTACTTTAACAACAAATGTGCTGCTTGCAGAAAACCCTGATTTCATACTATGTTGTCATTCCGCTAAACTATCGCTTAATTGCACTGCTCAGCTAAGTGATTAGTCGGGGAAAAATTATGACAGGTACCGTTTATGCGGAGTTACATGATTATTCCCAATACGAAGGCAACCAATATTTTTGAAAACAAGCAGCTTATAAAATACAGTACAAACTTACACCTTACTGCTATTAATAGACAAGAAATTCACACTAGCTTACACGTTTTTAGAAAAGTTTCAGACAGTCTGAAAGTTTAATGATCTGTTAAGGTTGCTTTTTAGATGCTCCTTGAGGCCAACATATGTAATATATTTTGTAAGCTTAAAACTAATACGCAGTGTCTACTGTTCTTGGAAGTCTGACCTACTTTTGACCAATCGCAGCTAGTTAATCGGTTGTGAAGAGGAGAATGCTTCCGAAAGTCATGACTCCACAAACGGTTAGCCAGAAAGACAAATCTGCTTCAGGTCGAACCATTTAAATAACAACTCTACCATATTGGGCAGCTTAATTATGTTACACATCCGAAATATTTTGAAAACAACGCCAGAGCTAACAAGTATGTTTTACGGATGACAAATAGCAAAGAAAATAGAACTGTAATTGAGTGTTAAGCTTCGAATGAGAGTATCCGTTTTCTCCACGTTCTGTTCTTGGAAGTCTGACCTACTTTTGACCAATCGCAGCTAGTTAATCGGTTGTGAAGAGGAGAATGCTTCCGAAAGTCATGACTCCACAAACGGTTAGCCAGAAAGACAAATCTGCTTCAGGTCGAACCATTTAAATAACAACTCTACCATATTGGGCAGCTTAATTATGTTACACATCCGAAATATTTTGAAAACAACGCCAGAGCTAACAAGTATGTTTTACGGATGACAAATAGCAAAGAAAATAGAACTGTAATTGAGTGTTAAGCTTCGAATGAGAGTATCCGTTTTCTCCACGTTCTGGACGTTCCAGGTAGGATCAACACACACACCAACTAGAATTGATTTCAGTATACACCAGTCACATCGTGTCCTGTCACCAAAGCTACGAGAATTAGTCTGCTGGATTTGCTTTGTTGAATTATATTCTCTAACAATTTTGCCAGAAAGTACTCACCGCTTCTATGAGTTAACCAAAATCTGAGAAACCCAATGAGCTTATTCCGTTGTTCGACAATAATTCCCTACCGATTCCTCAGGAATCATAGAACCGGTGTATTTTTTAATGACATCTGGAGTGGGACAATGAGTGAGCTCCCGAATGTTGGTGAACAAACCGCGTGCTCCTGCTCAGGGGCTAAATTTTCCCGCAATATTCAGCTGCCAGGTTTCTGCACAGTTTGACATACGAATCAAATAATACGTGAGAATATCCTGAGTTGTTTTTTGGAAGGAATTATTGATCCATCTACGTCAAAATTTCTCATTCCTCGTTATTGAGAGAGTATTTTGCAGATGTTTAACTTGCATGGGTGCTCATGTAACACCGGATTTGCAGGGGCATCTTTTATGTGCACAAATATTTGCAGTTGGTCTGCCCATCGACGCATGAATCGAAGCAGCCGAGATGTGGTTGTTACACTGTTGATAACTGCGGTTTCTGTGAATGGGTATGATTCTGACTAAAGGCACCATATTTAGAGAGCTCTACTTCTTATTGGTTCCCACTCACCCTGCATGCACAGTATTTGTAGACACCGGTATCTTCTTCACCGAAAGTAAACTAACACTTACTTCAAATCACACCAAAACATGACTAAAGCTTTTTCATCCTTTTGTCCATCTAATAATGTTTGATTTACTTTTGTTGATCAGATTGACCCATGAACAGCAAACGTTCAGATTAGACAACTTAACACAGATTAACGTCTTGTTTTAAGTAAATCAACTCTCAGTTGTTTCAACATTTAAAATAAGGTTAGTTTCCTCACATTAAATATAACATGGAACTACAACAACAACGGGTACACTACCCTTCCCTGATTGCAGGATACACAAGAGTGGTTGCAGATTAAAAGTGAATATTTACCAAAGATATTGTAGTCTTAAGCTACTCCCGAGCACACCCAAGAGCAGTATATGCTAGTATTGTTCCGTTAATGTTGAGGAGAGTAAAAGCAATATGCACAGACTAGATCTACCGAAGAGCACCGCAACCTGATTTGAACAAAAGCAACTTCAAGAAAGCGGATGCCCAGCAGGTTTGATTAATTGGCAACTAAGGCGGTATTCGTCTTTTTTATATCAAGATCCAACAGGGACTTGGTTGGAACACCGGTCATTCCATACAAAACAGGGACATGTGAAGCCAGTAGAAGGGTGTTGAATACGGCCAAAATTAAAGTAACATTCAAGAATGGAAGATATTCACGCTCGGTGTTGGTGAAGTTAAAGAGTCGACTTCCGATTGACGGGATCAGGAACGTTCTATACAAAATGAAATGCTACGACAGTGCGAAGGTTTACACAGGTCAGACAGCCAGGAAATGGCACACCAGAATCGGTGAGCAATAACAGACCACTGAGAAATGTGGATAAATATCAAGCTTTAAAATAGTTCTGGAAATGGCGGGGCATGCGCTAAACACTAAGCGCAGGATAGATTTGGAAAATGGAGATATTTTGAGAAAGGGATTAAGATTAACAACACAGCGACTGGTTACCGGGGCGGTGGAAATCCCCAAGCATCCCAGTGTGAATAAAACAGAGGGCGTAGAACTGGCAAACATATAGAGAGCAGATTTAGAGCAGTAGAGAGGACACGAAGCGGTGTAAAATTTTGAGTAAAACGATTTTGTCTTAAGGTCAAAATTCCAAGCAGAGTAAAATTCACTTGACCCCACACAAACCCAACTCCATTTGTCTTGGCACTCCTTGACGCAGATTAACAAAATATGTCAACGGCTCCGAGAAGGAATATTCCATTAAGGTGTCCTTGACCGGAAAAGCAAGATTACACAATCCGGGTTCAGCAGGTAAACATTCCCTTCCTAAACAATCCATTGTAATTGTTAATTATTCTCAACAAACCGGAGATTCAAATACCCACCCAGCACTGATCAAGTCGGCTAGTCATAAAAAATCTCACAGATTGGTTTTCTGACTGTCTTAAAGCCCGGTCAAACTGGTAACTCACTCACTTGGTGCAAAAAAGCCTTCGTGTCAAAAGCAGGACATTGGCCCCTAATAAATGAACCGGTTGTTTACCAGCTCGCAGTGAAACGATGACCACCCAGTCGGCCAAAAACATTTTTCCAGTAGACCGAAAAGATTAGTCTCCTTTAATAGAGAATACGGATGTTTGTGAACGGCCAAAGTCTTTAAGGATCCCTTGAAAGTCAATCATACATTATAAATACTCCTTTTGTCCACCTGAATCATTGCATTCCGACTGGTGTTTCAAATGCTCTGTTGGCAAGTTAGTTTTGCAAAGTAGTTCCTCCAATCTCTAAAGTATGGGAAACCGACTAGTTAGCACTCAGGCAGTGCTGCTCAAACTAAAACCCCGAGATGTTCACAAATGAAAAACCCTTAAATAACAACGAGGTAAGCATTTATTTTTCATTCATGTATAAGAGCAGATGGTCTCTTCTACTAGTAGGTTTAGAAGCTGTGCTGACTGGCCTATCTGGGTCGCGCAGCCGGTCGCCCACCTGCTGACTTCACTGGGGGATGTGCTTCTACGTAGAAACTGAATTCCTCCTCGGTATCCTTTATTTTGGCTCGCTGCAAGCGGATTGCCTCTCTTAACTGGTCATTGTTTGTGATCAGACACATGTCCGTACCATCTGTAAGAATAAAAAAAATTGGAACGGACCATAGATATCTTGAAAAATGAACATACGAAGGTATTCAATCACACGCTGAGGGAAATTCGTAATGCGCGGTAGGGTTTTTAACATTGTAGACTACCACCTTCCCTTTTACTTTTGTTGTAGCGCACTTTCAACTGACACGAAAGTCGATGGACAAGCGTTTGGCAGAATGCTTGAAATTTGCTTTCGAGTGGAGCATTTAAAAATACATCACTGGTGTAAAGTTTGGCTAATAATCGAACGAATGAAAGAAGGAAGGATTCAGTAAACATCTGAGGCTAAGTGTAGCCACTTACCATTCCAACGAATGCTATAATTGTCATAGGTACCGTCGTCCATTTTTTCGCATCTGTTGTGAATATCTTTTATTGTCAAATCGTTCAGTGGTTTATTCGGTGTCCATCGACATACCTCTGGCTTTTTCGGTTCTGGTAGCTTGAGGTGAATCTTTACGACAGGCATGTTTGGATCGCATGCTGTGCACTTGGTGCATGTGATTTTATAGCCATTGCAACGCCGATAAATTGGACACCTGCTGTCTGAAATTTGTAAGCTTGCTGCGTTATGCGAATCATTCGTTCGAGGAATGCTTTACCACTGAGTTGCTCCATGTCAACCATGAACCTGTCTGTAATTTAGAATAAGCAACATCACCACACAAGAGAATGAACCTGCGTTGTTCTGTTGGATTTACTTGTTCTGAACGTAAGTACAGTCAGTGACAGATGAGCACAGTATCATCCTAGAGAGTACAATCTTAATTGTGTCGACGTTTGACAACCCAGTCCCTAAGCGTTGTTCTCAATTGGACTGCTTCGATTAAGATGAACCCAATCGCACCCAGGCAGATTCAGATCAAATAGTGCAGCCCTCTTTTAGTGGTCTTTGCCAAGTAAATTGTAGAGCACTCGAGATGTCCAGGTGGACAGTTCATTTGGATACTTTAGTCAAATTAGATGGGTTACTTGTATAAACTATTTGTTTTGTCGATTTTTGGCTGTGCCGTCTCTTTTCAGGCGCATTCTGTGGAGAGGATAAACCATCGAACAACTCGGGAATTTAAGGAATATTCACGTGATGCGAGCGCACGCAACTTTTCCTTAGAGAAAATTTTTGTGTTAAATTCTTGAGGATACCTTATAAAGCTCCCTTACGTTTGTCTACATAGTATTTAAATAGAAAGCACCTGAAACTTCAGAATCAGTTGACTAATAGACAACGCTTATAGGTCAGGATCGAAGCCACAGCACACAAGGTTCCAAAGATGGGACGTGAAAGCAAGAATGGGCCTTTTGAACAAGAGTGGGTAGATGAATCGTTCTCGGGGTCTGTGATAGCTTAAAATGTTTAGCCCTCTTTAATATTCTGTAGATTTTTGCCCTCTGATATAAGCCACATGCAGACTTCACGGGACGCAGACTGAGTATTACCAAAGTATATCATCTCCGCACACATAAAGTGCAATCTTGCGATTGACGGCAGAATCCTGTATCGTTCAGCCGGCTGATCTGCAGGTAAATTGCCTCTGGTTCAGGCTTGGTATAGCGCCACCGTCTTCCACTTTAGCGATTCGCATCAAGTAACCTGGTTTTCAATGTCCCGTCGAGGTGGGTGAAGGAGGAATTGTAGTTCCCTGTCATTGTCACATAACGCACACGAAATCAAAAAAGAGTATTGAAGGTTGAAATCACATCTGCTTATCAAACTAATACACACTACCTGGACATTGGTTGTGCGGGAAAACGCTGCTAGCCAGATTGCAGCAAAACTTGCATTCTTTTGTGGCTTCAAGGCAAATTATGATCTTACTGAGTTTTTGAATAACAGCAATGTTGATAGCCACACAACTTTGGTCTGAGTAAAAATCATCGATGGTTTGTTGAGAACAATTCACATCATAAGCGATGGAAACGTTGTCAAGGCCACGATAAACGACTAACCGATCACATCAATGATGCTTAGGCGCGCTCTGCATATCCGAATTTCAGGCTCGAGTGTGCTCGAATTTGGTGTTTTATCCAGGGTAGATTCTTCGGAAAATAATTAAAACCAGAAATAATCTTCCTCTCTTTTCAAATTCCCTTCCTATTAAAAGCCCTGTGCCTGTGTTGGATCAACTAATTAAGTTAGACCGCACAAAACTGGGGGGCAGTTGGAGTTCGGTTCTACGCTCTTTAGATTTCAACAGCAGTGTACATCCAGAGGTAGGTAAATTGTCACTTCTGTGTAAGTCAAATAGCTCGATAGGATAGACAGGAGCAAGAAGCAGAGGGTATATTGTTTAACGCTGAGCGTATTCACAGCAATTTTTTTCAATCTGAGCTTCAAAATTAGATATCAGACGGTTTTTGAGAGAATATTGGTGCAAATTGCGCCTTTAGCTCTGATAGTGTACAAGGTGAAATAAAAAGTTTCGTTAAAGCCCGCAACATTCGAAAGAATTTGTCTTCCCCAAGGACGGATTTTAAGCCGATCTATCTTCAAAAGCTCATCTAGGTCATAAAATGATTAATCTTGATTCATGAATCGAGTGGCGCAGAAAAGATGGCAACCACCTTTCCACAAATACCACCGCGTCAGATATTTCTATATTCCCAGCTAGAATAGGAAGTTCTAGTTTCTGTGCTACGTTTTGTCTTGCGGATTGTGAAGAGTTGTGAAACACTGAGGTAAACAGGAGAAGGTTTCCAAGGCTGATTTGAGATTCAAATTAACTGACTTACGGATTGATTAACTACCGATTAGTAGATTTGTGGCTGTTTTGTGATCTTTATTCTGTAACCTGAAACGTTTTTTCCAAAAAGTGCAAATTTCTCAAACCTTTCAGAATTGCGGTGTTAAATGTACCCATGGTGTACACCACTTATACAGACAACCTAGTACTCTAGCAAAGGATTGGAACCAAGCTATTAAAAGACGGAAATTGCTTGCCCAAGTAGTTGTTTTGCTTATCAATTGTTCGTTTGGGCGTTCGACAACAAGCAGAGCAGTTTGACGGGATGTTTACACGTACAATGTCTATAGCACCAAAGCACAGTAAGTTTACAGAGCATTTCTTGGGTCACTCTGTATGTGAAAAAATTCGTGGGGTTTGTGGACATAAAAGTGAAGCGAACTGCTACGATATTAACCACTTAACTAAGTAGCTTATGTGAAGCAATCAAGGCAGTGCGCCTCCATCAGCGAGTCATATTCTAGTGACAAAGGCGTCATACATTTGTTCAAATATCCCTTGCTCATATCAGCTAATGTGGATTGAGAGGTACTGAGCGGATCTGACTCGTTGATTGGGAAGAAACAAAAACAACAGTAGCCTTTTAACTCGAGCGATTCCTTCATTTTTTTCTTAGAAAAGCTTCCGGATGTAGAAAAACGGGGCAACCACAGGGACGTTGCGGTAGTGTAAACGGCGATTTTTTGTCTACAAAAACTTGTAGTGCACACTTATCGGTTTCAGTGTCCATTTGCTGACCCCACCATTTTGACACTTGAGCGCTCCAGATCTTGGAACTGTGCAGTTGATTTGTCGGTGGACTAAATGTTTCAGCAACTGCCAGAACCACTTCCAATTCAGCTGTTTGCCAAGCTAAAACTACGTAATGGGAAAATTTTCCAGCCATGTGTAAACATTTGAACCAACCCGCAATTTATGACCTTGTATTGACATTATTAAAAAATGTAGCCAATTAACTATAATCTTTTTCATCGCATTTCGCTCTGAATAATGGTGAGGCATATGTGCCGGCAGTAGCCTTATGATCGGCTGGCATAATAACGAGCTCCAGACCAGAAAATCAATGGAGGTTTGGGAAATTCGGTATGCGAATTAGTGATCAAAAGCTCCCCAAGTGCGAATAGCCACAAATTATTCGAATGTCACTAACTGTGCATACACGCAAGCTTACTCGAATACTTTTTTAAATGTGTGGTAATCTGGGGGTGTCTTGGATAACCGGATGATATTTCTTTGACACTCAAATCCAGATTTTTCAGATATCCAAGATAAAAAAAAGTAACTCCAGTTTTAGTCACCTCATCGTTAGGTTTTGAAGACGCCTCTCTGCAACCGGGACTGTCAGTAAAGTGGTCACTGTCCCCCTGTGAACCGATGTATTCATGTACCTGTTTGGTCAAACCAGTAATACACACAGCTCGGATGAACGAAATACCGAACAATGTTGGCTGACTGGTAAGCGTAAACTCATGTAGGTTTCTGGTCAGTTGCAGTATCGCGAAACTAATCAGTATGACAGTGTGATTCAGTGATATTATACTCATTTTTGGTCCGCACCGCTACTATTTTTTATTTATATTACTGAGTATCTTTGGTTTTTAAGTGAGTACTTACGCTCTGGTCCAAACTTTCAGACATTCTCTGCGATGACGTCTGAACAAGTTGGAATCCGACATTTGTTATACCCCTGTAATTCGTATGTCATGTATTAAATGAACCGGAAGCATCGTTTGGTTTCTATTCGTAAAACCATTGTCATTTACTGTGGTTCTTACTCGTGGTATACGGAACAGTTTGTACATGTTAGCTTGAAAACGAAATTTTACTTTTTTTAGCGAGTTCGTTCGCCTGGTCAGCGCTACTGAACTGTCAGAACAACCAAGGTCAAATATTATTTCAACGCTGACAAACTGTTTCTCGGTTAAGATTTGCGACCGTTGGGAGCGTGTACACAACTAGTGCGGCTATTCATATCACAGAGCTGATTATTAGGTCGCTGAAATCACTTTTGACGACCTATTTCGGTTTCGGCCTTCATGAACCCTATTTAGTAGGCTTACATTTTTATTCTTCTTCTGCATCACTCCCCAACTCAATATTAATTTGTAACACGTAGAGTTACAAGTATATTCACTGGTGTTAGCAAAAGACTCAATTTATTACTAGCTGTCTCAATCCTTCGTGCTAAATGTGCTGCGTAGAGTCTACTTTATTTTGCTGTTGGTCGATCTTTACATTAATTGCTCTACATTGTTCACTTGATACAACGCTGACAATAAGTTTTACGAAAAACAGCTAAGCCTCCAATTAAGTAGACATAGTTCCCCAATTTCCCTCGGACTCAATTTCCGCTAAACTGTGAGTAAGCGGAACATTCTGACTGAACAAATTTGACACATGCCTGGCTGTAGCAGCGTTCCAGTCAAAGGTTAATTAAGGGTAGTCAAAACATTGAGAAACACGCACACTAAGTACTATTAAACAGTTATTGGGCCCTATACATCAAGAAAAAACGGCAGGATCATCTACAACAGTCTGTTGGCTTGTCTGATATCTAGACAATCTTTTATAGTTTTAATGGTAGATCCAGGGGGCTTATGGGCCATGTAATCAGTTGAAAACAATACTTCCATGCAGCGATTTACTGGCTAGTTGTTTTTACGACCTCAGTAGCCTTGTTAAATTTCACAATACATTAAAAAAAGTAATGCAAGGCTCACATTTAAAA